CTTTGAATTGTGACAAAATTACCATGGACTCTTATATAATAAATACTTGTACTTTACTTGCTTGCTTCTTTTAGTGTGATGGTCTGAAATGAATGCAGCACTTTTTATATCATTTACGTAAGTTTTTTTTAAGACTTTGCCTTATCTTTTTGTAGAGCTTACAATAAATATTTGGTTATATTTGTGCTCTTTGTTTCTCACATTTGAGCTAGGCCTAGTAAGTTACCAAACAAGTAAAAATGTGAACGCTACATCAACTTTTATATTAATTCTTTAAACACTAAATTGTGAGTGCATAGTGTTGTTACCTGCTTATAGAGTTTTTCAATAGGACCACCTCACCACAAAAAGGTTGTTGTAGAGCTGGAAAAGATTCAGAAAAGGGCAACCAAATGATCAAGGGTTTGGATCGATGCCACTATGGTGGGGGAGATTTGAAAATGACTTCCAAATTCAATGGTAGGTTTCATGATTCAGTTACTATAACCAGGGACACACAGTCATTTACTGTAGAGGGGAAGAGGATTTTGGAACCATATTTGCAGCCAAGGCAGAAGTGTTGCCTGGGCATTTATTGAGAGGACAGAGAAATCAATTGAACTACCCACTTTTTTCTGCAAGAACAAGTGGTTCACCTTACTGGTGAGTCGACAACTCTAGTTCAGTTTGGAATTAGACTCAACGAATCCCAACCCCCAAATTCCCGCTGTGATCCCAGTGTAGTTGGTAGAATGCCAGGGTCCAAACAGCCTTCATACCTTCCACCCTGCCTTTCTGCCCTTCTCACTTACTTGACAGCAACAAGGAAACATCCTTCCTTCCTTCCTTCCTTCCTTCCTTCCTTCCTTTCTCCCTGCCTGCCTGCCTGCTTTGAACAACGCTGTTCCAGGTGCCTTTGGAAATGTGGTTTTCCAGGGCCCATGAATCAGATGTCCTAGAAACTGCATGTTCCAGAGCACCTTGCACCTGTAATGTTGTGAATATGCTTATAACAGCATCCTTGGTACAAGGAGCCCTGTAATGCTGTCTTTGCAGTGTTTGTGAAGCCATCAATGGAAGGAGGCATGCGGAGAAGGATGTCTGGGACAAATGTTGTTCTGTTCATTATGCAGCCGAGCATTATGTAGTTGAACCAATTTTTATACAGACAGAGCCAGGTTTAAGAAGTTTTGCAACATCACTAGTTTCTACCAATGGTAAAGACCCCTTTATAAGACTTCTGCTCTTGACCATCCACACACAAATTGATGTAGTTCAGAAACAGCAGTATAGGGTATAGATTTTCAACTAATTGGGTTTTATCTTTTCGGGTCTGTAATTTTCTAATCGCTTTTCCTTCAGTCCCTTTAACTTTTTCTTTTCTTTTTTTTTTAAAAAGAAGGCTAAGAGTATTTCTCAACCCACAGTTGTCATGCCTGTGAACAAAAATAATGGATAATCTTTACATGGGGGAAAAAACAAAACTAATTCCAGCTTGATTATCACTGATGCTTTTAAGTACCTTCAGTCTTTCCCCCCATTATGTCACATGCTGCAAGATGGATTTTCAAAATAATCTTTATGCCCAGGATTTTAACTGTGGAACATCTGTTTCATTTTGACGAAACTATGATGAGCATCTGTTTCCATGGAAGGTATGAATTAAACCAGACCACATTCATTTGTGGAGTTATGGATTATCTAGACTTGTGCTGTTTCACGAATAAATCATAAAGGTTGGATCAGCACTATCAACCATATTAGCATGTTTCAAACTTAGTTAACATCAAAAATGTTGGTGTTACCCTAAATTTAAGACTACATTTAAAAAAGAACCAGTGTGTTTCAACACACTTCCGGTTTACAGATTCCAGAACTAGCTATACTGTATATTAAACAAGTGGCCACAGTCAAGGTAGTGCATATGTAATGTGCATTTACTGTGGAGGAAAATCTCTTTAAGTATACAAATGCCCCAGTTCAAAAGGTGCACAATCAGGTTCTATAGATACATTTCTTTTAACTGAAAGGCCCACACCACTATACATGTGTGTCCCAGTCACATTCTCCAGTAATGCTGATAGTTCATTTTGGAGAAAGACTGGATCAAATCCTCAATACAGTGGTACCTTGGGTTAAGACCTTAATTCGTTCTGGAGGTCTGTTCTTAACCTGAAACCGTTCTTAACCTGAGGTACCACTTTAATTAATGGGGCCTCCCGCTGCCACCATGCTGCCGGAGCACAATTTCTGTTCTCATCCTGAAGCAAAGTTCTTAACCCGAGGTACTATTTCTGGGTTAGTGGAGTCTGTAACCTGAAGCATCTGTAACCTGAAGCGTCTATAATCCGAGGTGCCACTGAACTCCTCTCTAGCTCATCTCATGAACATGTGCTTGTTCCCCAGTAAATGAGAATACAGCCCAGAAAATGTTGATGGGTGCTTAGTTAATAAATGTTAATAAATGTCTAAATAAATAAAAAATTACACACACACTTCCAATTGGCACATCTGTTTCCTCCTGTTGGATCAGAGTGAAAAATATGTGAGTCCAGGTACAGCATTTAACTATATAATGAGATGTGATGAATCTACTATGAACTTTTCTATGGGTGAACAGCCTTGCCTTTGACCATCCACTTTTGCTGCAGACTGTCGCTTGACAGTTTCATGCATCATATTTGGCTTTCAGAATACTTTCTCTACTCCTGGTCCAGGATGTATTTAGATGTTCCTGAAGCTAAACTCCACTTGCTTGGTGTATGGCTGCCCTGCAATACACACAGATTTGGCTATTTTTCAGGTTTTAGTTCTGATCTGAAGATGCTAGCAATGCAAGGCAGATGCCACAGGTGGCAGCTGCATCCTCACAAATCTCACTTTACCTGAATCATGAAGCTAAGTTTCCTACCATCCCTCCTCTTGCGAACCACTTTGACAGGTGTACACGGCTGCCCACCTTCTAATTGTCTGACATCACAATGATGTCTGGACCAAAGGTTCCTTACCACTGCAATAGGCAGAAGCTCAGAACATGTCACACTTTGTAAGTGAGAAGTTAGAAAAAGAAATGTGCTAGATACCATAGTTCTCCCTTTTGAATCCATACTGCTTGCCTGCTCTTTTTTTATCATTTACATTCATAAATGTTGTCCCCCCTTTTCTTTTTTTCCTTTCTCCTCCTGTGATGAGGCTGTGTTTTAATGTTTTAATGTTGTATTTTAATCTTGTTTTTTAAGTTGTATTTCAATCAACTTGTTTTTATTATCGGTTGTTAGCCACCCTGAGCCCGGTCTTGGCTGGGGAGGGCAGGGTATAAATAAATATTATTTATTATTATTTATTATTATTATAGTTGATTACGGAAGCCTTGAAATAGGAATCATCTACCAGTGACCCAAACCAGTGGAGTTTTCATGTAGTGCTGATAACAAGCACTTGATCTATTCCATTGCAAACATGCACTCCATATTTAATTAAAAACAATCAGATTAAACATAGTTGGCCCAGATTCAACTAAAGTCACTGGGTTTACTTGGGCCAGTCACCATCTCCCAAACAAATAAATGACCGGCAGTGGAATCCTATGCACGCCCAGGTAAGTGTGTATAGGATAGCTGCCTGTATCATACTGAAACCAACAGAACAAGTTATTTGTGACTACTTTAGGTGTTATTAGTTCTGGTGGAACATTATAGCTGAATTAGGGATACTTGTTGTTTGCAGTAAATTAAAATATTGGTTGAAGCATATGGACCTAATGGTCCCACCATTAAAAAGCAATAATACTACAGAGGTCACAGATTCCATTTCTAGAGCAGATTCAATGACAGATGTTTCCAATGATCTCTCTCCCTGCTCTTCTCGGTCAGCTAATGACTTTTCAAGAAAAAATGTTTCTTAAGCCAAAGATACAAGTCATGTAATGGACACCCTCCCAACATACAGTTTTCCTGGAAACTGACCAGGATACAAACCACTAGGAAGTTCTCCTGTGCAACCCTCAACAAAACAAACAGGAGCTACAGAAAAGCACTATCATCACACTCTTCTGAAGTAGCATAGCTGAGGCTGCTAAAATGATTAGGGAGGAGTTTTTGCTTAATGGAAATAAAATAATATCTTCTCTCGTACATAAATGCTGAGGGAAATTTATTGGGAAAGTCAAGCTACAGGAATAATAATAATAACCCTTATTAAATTAGTGATCAATGTTCATGGCCCAGCCACCTTTATTTTTTTGACATTATTTATCTTCGTTTTGCAAAAAGAAAAAAAGGAAGGAGGAAAGCTAAAACAGTGATAAAATAAGACTTTCTCCATAGAATCAATCATTTGTGAAATTTCATTTTTAAAAAAATATTGCAGGTGATTTTGGTGCCGAGGTCAGGGAAGTATTTGAGATACATAAAGTACATAAGAACATAAATTGTGACACTCCTCTGTTATTTTCTCATATATTTTTCCTTTACAAGTGTATTCAGGCATACTGAGTTTGCCTTTAAAGATGAAAAGAAAAGAAATGATTTTGGTTTCTTTTATTCCCTTTCTGCTTTATGAGGTTTATGAGCACAATAAGCACATTTTACCTACAACTGAATAGCTCCTATTTAGAGATAACATTTGGTATTCTTTATGGCACATCAGTGCCATGGTTGTCAGTTACTCCAAGACAATGGAGAGATACAGAAGAGGCAAAGAGAGCATTCTGTATTGGAACAAGTCCATTTCAGAGCTGGAAAGGAACCTTCTCAGCAGATACAGATTTTTCAGAGCCATAATGTGACAACTGGGTTACTTCTCAAAATACAGTATTATCGCAATCGTATCTTTTTTTTCCACTTTAAAACTGCAGCAGCAGCAACAACAACATTATGTGAATCTTTTCTCATCTCTCCCTCCCCCACTCCCATAAAGAACTTTTCTAATCACCCTTGTTCTAAACACTCAGTTGGCATGGGAGCAACTCATTCCAGATGCCTCACTGTTCTTGCCATCTTCTCATAACCCAAAGCCTGCACTGTCCTCACTCCTGGTGGCAGTCAGCCATACTTGGTCACCCACCACCATTCCCTCCTTGAAGCTAAGGGGAACTGATTAAGCACCTCTGCATTTTCTCCAAAGTTATTTCATTACGAGATGCAGAAGGGTGAGCACATCAATATTTAAACAAGAGGTAATTTTTGTAAATTAGAGAGAGAGAGAGAGCAATTCCCACCCCCACCCTTCTAATGTTTCAGATTGCGTGTGGTTGTTCTTTGAATCTCTTATCCCTCTGGGAGGAGAGCTGTTTGGGGAATGGGGTAATTTGAGAGGGAAAACTGGGAAAGAGAGAGTTAAAAGCATTCTAATCACAACCTGGCAGGTGGAGGAGTGCTGAAGAAGGGCCCATTAGAGAGAGATGAGAGGGGTTACAGCAGGCATCCCCAAACGGGGCCCTCCAGCTGTTTGGGGACTACAATTCCCATCACCCCTGACCACTGGTCCTGTTAGCTAGGGATGATGGGAGTTGTAGTCCCAAAACAGCTGGAGGGCCAAGTTTGGCCATGCCTGGGTTACAGCATATCAGAACAGGTAAGGGAGTTCAGGAGGTTGGGGGAGCAGACATGCCTTCCAAAGATGTCGAGGAGGTTGTCAGCAGGACAGCAGGGGTGGGTGGCGGCTGGCTGGCTTGCAAACACTTCTTCATTGACCAAAGTTGCTAAACCAGTGTCGTGTGGTGTGTTTCCTTACAGCTTGTGAAGCTGGATATGTTTGTTTTAGACTGTGGGTTACTGCAACATGTGAGTGGGGCCTATGAATGTGTTTCCAACCACGCTGTCAACGGGCCACCCAATTTCACTGGAGCTGGAGGATCAGCAACCCCTTCCATTGTATCTTTCTTTCTTTCTTGTTTTTTATGATTATTTTATATTTTGCCCTTGTCATTTTATTGTCCACTGCTCTGGGTATTTTATACAGAAAACGCACTAAACTCAGTTCTGTGATCCTCCAAAGAATCATCTTTCTGCACCACAGGAGACACTCATGGGGCCCATCACAACATAAGGACATAATCTGTTATTTTTCTCTTGAGTATAAATACTACCGAGGAGGAAATGCTGTTCATCTAGCATACTTCTTCTTTATCGTCACAACAACAAACCCTGTTGTTTGTCACTAGAGAGAGTGTGTGATTGGCCCAATGTTATGCTGGCCTTCATGACTAAGCTAAGATTTCAAATCCAGCATTCCCAGTTCAGCTTTTTGTTTACAACAGTGCTGACGTGTGTGTGTGTGTGTGTGTGTGTGTGTGTGTGTGTGTGGATCTTGCACTTTCTTGACAGTTTCTCATCAAAGAATAAATATATTTTGTCTGTTTCCACAATTTGTATCATGATCATGGCCTATCTGAAATATGAATGCTGTGAAATGTGTTGGTTGTTGTGTTGGTCGGCTGTATCTTTGAGAGAAGTTGGAATGGATTTTATTGAGTTCCAGGTTAAAGTTCTGACAGATGAAATAAATCTTGGCTTCTTTGCCCCAATATCAGATATTTAATATTGTCAACATTACCAATACAGATCAGTGTTAAAGAATCCTCTCTCTTTTTTAGTTACATGTAAACATTTAGTTGAATATAAACTAACTTATTGATAGTCTATACACAGAATGGTTTATTGATACTTTTGTCAGATTTCATAATATTCGTCCTTCTTAATAGCTCCATTGATTTGTTTAGAGTGGGAAAATAATAACGGTAGATAATAAGGCAAAGGGGGGCTATTTTCTCTTGTAAAAACAAATGCTTGAATAATGGTAGATTCAAAGATGCTGAATTTCTGCTACATGCTCCCCCCCCCCAAAAAAAAACCCCCAACCAGTAAGTTTTTATAAATAATTGCTTGAAGGGTTTGGTGGGTGGCAAGAAAGAGTAGCATGGTAGCAAGAAATGGTCTATGATGAGAAGTGAATGATACAAGTGGCACAGTCTGCAGATCAAGGGAAATATGAGATGGAAAATCTGTGATAGTATCTCATCACTCTTTCATCCTTCCTAGCAGCTGCTGTGGACATTTCAGTCAAAGCATTTTTAAGTGGGGGGGAGGGGATTAAAACCTACCTCCACATCATTTCCTCATTTGGCCACCAAAAGCTGTTATTAGCCCTGCTGAGGGCAGGATGATAGAGGGACCTATTTTTCTTAGTGGGGCTAAAAGGAGCTTCAGGAGGATGATTTAAATCAGAAATAGCATGGTGGAAAAAGGTTGAGCACTAATAATTTTTGTTTAGGAGCCAGGCATCCATATTGGCCTGTAGAAATATTCTGGTTATGTTTCAGATGGAGTTTAGACTGGCATATCTACCCTAAGGTTCTGGGGTGGGTTATCAACCCTGAGGCTGCTGGCAGCTCATTAAAAGCATTTGTTCCCTGGCTATGGGCAGCAATATAGTGGAGTCTTGCCATCACCCATGGTTCATTTTGGGTGTCCTACCATGTGCTCAGTGGAATCAGTTTGTTCTGTGTGATAGTGTACATGTCAAGTAACACGTTTGAGCACTGAGATCTTCTAATGGGGCCTTGCTCCAGGTGCCTTCTCTGGTTATGATGTAATGAAAAGCAAGCAGTATCTCAGGGCATCCTTAATGTCCCAGACACTGTGTGAATGTTTTGCTGATAAATGTTTTGCTTATAAAATCAAAGTGACACTAATTGCATTTGCTAAGGGAAGAACATTTGTAAATGTTGACTTAAATTTCCTCCTTTTAACTTTAAGACTGCTTGGCACTCGGAGATACTGCCTTACTTTAAGTATGGAATGTATGTGACCCACCCACCCCCACTACAGCTTTTCTGCTGCTGTCATCTGCTGCTTCTTTTTTTGGCAACAGTGTTCTGATTACTATCATCACCAAGAATGCTGATGTTGCCAGGGCTTCAGTTATAGTTGAGTTGCTGCAGGAATATCTAGCATATCATTTGTTTAATTTATTTAACAGACTTCTAAGACAGCTTTCAAAGTATAATTATCTTTCCAAAGCAGTGTACAAAATGTAATAAACACATTTTAAAACAAACCTGGGAGTTCATAATTAACAGAGAGAGAAAGAGAGAGCGTTTCAAGCTACCCAAGTCTAAAACTATAACTTGGTCATTGACGAGGCATATAGCAAAGAAAGAAAGTTAAGCCTACCCTCTTAATTAAAAAACAGATTGAAAGAAAAAGAAAAAGAAATCTCTAGGGCTCACTTAAAAGAAAATAGAGGGTGCTAATTGTACCTCTTGGGGGGTGTTCTACTGATGTGGGGCCACATTTCTAAATATGCTTAGAAATGTGTATTTGGATAAATAATACATTTAAAATATGTATTTAAATATATAATGAAACAAACATTTCCATGCAGTTCAAACAAGTAATTATCACATGCAAAAGCAGGATGGAATGGATTTCTGGGTGAACACATGCAAAAAGTAATTTGGATCAGAAACAGACTCACGTGTCCCTAGACTGCTCCTGGGTCCTTCAGCATAAAAATCAGGTCCTCTACCACTGGGTATGGTCGCCCCCAAAGGGTCCTAGCCACCCCCACTCCCCAGGCATCTTGAACCTGTGTTCCATGGAAGCCTGTATATTTTCTCGGCAGGCCTCCACACAAGGGAGCTTTTTGGGTTCTGTAGCAAAATAAAATAAAATAAAATAAAATCCTCCTAAGAGAAACACAGGATAATTTTGAAAAGTAAATAACCTCTGAAACTTAAGGGGGTAATGTGAATCTTAAAAACCCTAGTTTTTAAAACAAACAAATGCACATACAGAATGTTTATTTGCTTAAAATGTTTGTATCTTCTAAGTTTACAACACAGATTAAAAGATAAATAGGTAAGGGTAAAGGGACCCCTGGCTGTTAAGTCCAGTTGTGGACGACTCTGGAGTTGCAGTGCTCATCTCGCTTTACTGGCCGAGGAAGCTGGCGTTTGTCCACAGACAGCTTCCGAGTCATGTGGCCAGCATGACTAAGCCGCTTCTGGCAAACCAGAGCAGCGCACGGAAATGCCCTTTACCTTCCCGCTGGAGCGGTACCTATTTATCTACTTGCACTTTGATGTGCTTTCGAACTGCTAGGTGGGCAAGAGCTGGGACCGAACAACGGGAGCTCACCCCGTCACGAGGATTTGATCCGCTGACCTTCTGATCGGCAAGCCCTAGGCTCTGTGGTTTAGACCACAGCGCCACCCACGTCCCATAAATGTTGTTGTTGTTTAGTCGTTTAGTCATGTCCGACTCTTCGTGACCCCATGGACCAGAGCATGCCAGGCACCCCTGTCTTCCACTGCCTCCCGCAGCTTGGTCAGACTCATGTTTGTCGCTTCAAGAACACTGTCCAACCATCTCATCCTCTGTCGTCCCCTTCTCCTTGTGCCCTCCATCTTTCCCAACATCAGGGTCTTTTCCAGGGAGTCTTCTCTTCTCATGAGGTGGCCAAAGTATTGGAGCCTCAGCTTCACGATCTGTCCTTCCAGTGAGCACCCAGGGCTAATTTCCTTAAGAATGGATGCGTTTGATCTTCTTGCAGTCCATAGGACTCTCAAGAGTCTCCTCCAGCACCATACATAATTCAAAAGCATCAATTCTTCGGCGATCAGTCTTCTTTATGGTCCATCTCTCACTTCCATACATTACTACTGGGAAAACCATGGCTTTAACTATACGGACCTTTGTTGGCAAGGTGACGTCTCTGCTTTTTAATATGCTGTCTAGGTTTGCCATCGCCTTTCTCCCAAGGAGCAGGCGTCTTTTAATTTCGTGACTGCTGTCACCATCTGCAGTGATCATGGAGCCCAAGAAAGTAAAATCTCTCACTGCCTCCAATTCTTCCCCTTCTATTTGCCAGGAGGTGATGGGACCAGTGGCCATGATCTTCGTTTTTTTGATGTTGAACTTTAGACCATATTTTGCGCTCTCCTCTTTCACCCTCATTAAAAGGTTCTTTAATTTCTCCTCACTTTCCGCCATCAAGGTTGTGTCATCTGCATATCTGAGGTTGTTGATATTTCTTCCAGCAATCTTAATTCCGGGTAGGGATTCATCCAGCCCAGCCTTTCACATGATGAATTCTGCATATAAGTTAAATAAGCTGGGAGACAATATACAGCCTTGCCGTACTCCTTTCCCAATTTTGAACCAATCAGTTGTTCCATATCCAGTTCTAACTATAGCTTCTTGTCCCACATAGAGATTTCTCAGGAGACAGATGAGGTGATCAGGCACTCCCATTTCTTTAAGAACTTGCCATAGTTTGCTGTGGTCGACACAGTCAAAGGCTTTTGCATAGTCAATGAAGCAGAAGTAGATGTCTTTCTGGAACTCTGTAGCTTTCTCCATAATCCAGCGCATATTTGCAATTTGGTCTCTGATTCCTCTGCCCCTTCGAAATCCAGCTTGCACTTCTGGGAGTTCTCGGTCCACATACTGCTTAAGCCTGCCTTGTAGAATTTTAAGCATAATCTTGCTAGCGTGTGAAATGAGTGCAATTGTGCGGTAGTTGGAGCATTCTTTGGCACTGCCCTTCTTTGGGATTGGGGTGTAGACTGATCTTCTCCAATCCTCTGGCCACTGCTGAGTTTTCCAAATTTGCTGGCATATTGAGTGTAGCACCTTAACAGCATCATCGTTTAAAATTTTAAATAGCTCAGCTGGGATATCATCACTTCCACTGGCCTTGTTATTAGCAGTGCTTTCTAAGGCCCATTTGACTTCACTCTCCAGGATGTCTGGCTCAAGGTCAGCAACCATACTATCTGGGGTGTATGAGACATCCATATCTTTCTGATATAATTCCTCTGTGTATTCTTGCCACCTCTTCTTGATGTCTTCTGCTTCTGTTAGGTCCTTTCCACTTTTGTCTTTTATTATGGTAATCTTTGTACGAAATGTTCCTTTCATATCTCCAATTTTCTTGAACAGATCTCTGGTTTTTCCCATTCTATTGTTTTCCTCTATTTTTTTGCATTGCTCATTTAAGAAGGCCTTCTTGTCTCTCCTTGCTATTTTTTGGAAATCTGCATTCAATTTCCTGTATCTTTCACTATCTCCCTCGCATTTTGCTTGCCTTCTCTCCCCCGCTATTTGTAAGGCCTCGTTAGATAGCCACTTTGCTTTCTTGCATTTCCTTTTCATTGGGATGGTTTTAGTTGCTGCCTCCTGTATAATGTTACGAGCCTCCATCCATAGTTCTTCAGGCACTCTGTCCACCAAATCTAAATCCTTAAACCTGTTCCTCACTTCCACTGTGTATTCATAAGGGATTTGACTTAAATTGTATCTTACCAGCCCAGTGGTTTTTCCTACTTTCTTCAGTTTAAGCTTGAATTTTGCTGTAAGAAGCTGATGATCTGAGCCACAGTCAGCTCTAGGTCTTGTTTTTCTGACTGTATAGAGCTGCTCCATCTTTGGCTGCAGAGAATATAATCAATCTGATTTCGATGCTGCCCATCTGGTGATGTCCATGTGTAGAGTCGTCTCTTGTGCTGTTGGAAAAGAGTGTTTGTGATGACCAGCTTGTTCTCTTGGCAGAACTCTATTAGCCTTTGCCCTGCTTCATTTTGAACTCCAAGGCCAAACTTGCCAGTTGTTCCTTTTATCTCTTGACTCCCTACTTTAGCATTCCAATCCCCTATAATGAGAAGAACATCCTTCTTTGGTGTCATTTCTATAAGGTGTTGTAAGTCTTCATAGAATTGGTCAATTTCAGTTTCTTCAGCACCAGTGGTTGGTGCATAAACTTGGATTACTGTGATGTTAAAAGGTCTGCCTTGGATTCGTATCGAGATCATTCTATCATTTTTGAGATTGCATCCCAGTACAGCTTTTGCCACTCTTTTGTTGACTATGAAGGTCACACCATTTCTTTTACAGGATTCTTGCCCACAGTAGTAGATACGATGGTCATCCGAACTGAATTCGCCCATTCCCGTCCATTTTAGTTCACTGATGCCCAGGATGTCAATATTTATTCTTGCCATCTCATTTTTGACCACATCCAACTTACCAAGGTTCATAGTTCTTACATTCCAGGTTCCTATGCAATATTTTTCTTTACAGCATTGGACTTTCCTTTCGCTTCCAGGCATATCCGCAACTGAGCGTCCTTTCGGCTTTGGCTCAGCCGCTTCATCAGCTCTGAATCTACTTGTACTTGTCCTCCGCTCTTCCTCAGTAGCATGTTGGATGCCTTCCGACCTGAGGGGCTCATCTTCCAGTGTCATAACTTTTATATGCCTGTTGTCTTTGTCCATGGAGTTTTCTTGGCAGGGATACTGGAGTGGCTTGCCGGTTCCTGCTCCAGGTGGATCACGTTTGGTCAAAACTCTCCACTATGACCTGTCCATCTTGGGTGGCCCAGCACGGCATAGCTCATAGCTTCTCTGAGTTATTCAAGCCCCTTCGCCATGGTGTCCCATAAATACAAGTATGTAAAATAAAATAACAATAATACCACAGTAAAAGAGCTGCAGTTTGTTATTTGTACTGGAAATTGTAGTTCTGTGAGGGGGAAACCACAGTTCCCAGCATTTTTTGGCAGAAATAATGTGCTTTAAATGTGCATTGAATATGTTTTATGTATAGCGTGGATATTACAGGGATAGAGTACTTTTGCATTCCCAAACCTGGTGCATTCCCAAACCATCACCCTCACCACTGGACATGTTGGCTGAGACTGATGAGAGTTTGCATCCAACAACCTCTGGAGGGCACAAGGTTGAAAAAGGCTGTGTATTTGTGAGCTAAGCTCCTTGACCTCTAAATAGCTATATTGATATATATGTCACCGTAAGCATTATTATAATGTAATTATTTTGACTTTCATCATATTCAGAAGCCAATTTTCATTGATCAGTGACTGTAAGGGTTAACTTGCAAGTTAAAATTTCCAGACCCACATGCGGCAATTCCCATGTTGGATATGCAGGAAACCTGCTGAGTGACTGGAACCTTACATGTGACTGGAAATGGGCAGATTTCCTATTCCATTCCTTTCTTGTTCCATGCATTTGCTCTGCCCTGCACCCCCACTCCTCCTCCTGCCACATGATACCTGTGGGTAATTGGTAGTGTGTCAGCCATGGACGCACTTTTCCACTGCCCTGTCGTTGTGTAACAAGAACAAAAGAACAATGATTTCCAAAAGCAAAAATGTTAAAGAGATTAACTAGGATTTGTGCAGTGACTTCATGCAGCTGACATGCACTCAGAATTGTGCAGTGGTTGGACTTGGAATCTTCAGTCTTGACAATTTTTACACACGGGAGGCATTCTTTCAACGATGCACTTGCTACCTGGAGGACAGATATGATTTATGGCACCCCAGCAACTTGGTCCATTTTAATTTCCGTATATGAAGAAAAGATGCTAGCTAGTCATGTAAGAAGAGGAGACAGGCACAAAACAGAAACGAGAATATATAGGGAAGGAGCTTCAGAGTGGGGAGTCTGTGGTGATAAAAGGAACAAAAGGAATTGATGAGATTATGTGAATATTTGTGTGCATGTCTATTAGTATCCATGCATCAAATCAAGGTTTCTTCAACACTGTGCACCTGGTATCATAGCAGACTAATTTGTAGATTAGGTGCCCTAGAAAATAAATGCACAATATGGGGTTATTCTGATTGCTGTGCCAGCATAACCTCATCAACCATAATTTATACTTCCGGCACTTAGGACTCTCTGGCAGACATGCCAATGCAAACATTTTATGAGCGTGATTCTGGCCCTGGCTAATGTTGCAACAGCGCTGAAACTGATATATCTGTATATCCCTGTCTTGGATGGGAGACCACTGGGAGTTACATGTGGAAACATGTTGTCATAATGTGTGCGTGTCTACTGATAAATTCTATTAAGTCTAGAAGATGCATATGAAAGGGCAGAGAGAGATGGAAAGGTCAATGCTACCATGCTAGAAATGGATGGGTAAGGCAGGTCATGGCAAGATACAAATAGGAAGGGATCCACTGCATATTGCGGCTTTTCATTGGTGGCCCCTCAGTTGTGGAAGAGTCTCCACAGGAAAGTTCACCTAGTGCCAATGTGGCACTAGGCATTCTCTCAGGAACTTGATTTGGTTGGAATCTTTTTCTAACTATTTGTGGAGTTAATCTTTTGGTTGGGTGGGATAATATAATATATACTGTATATCTTTCCCAACAACACTGCAGCCTGCCTTCTTTTACCTCGTTGTTGTTGTTGTTGTTGTTTTACTTTGGCAAGTATATTTTATTTGCAAGGTAAATTGGCAAAATTAGTAAGTATTCTGTGCTTCAGACTGGTACCCCATTGGTTTTTCTATGACCATAATAAATGCTCTAACAAAGATGCCTCTAAAAATAGTAATAAACATAAAAGGGAAATGACCGTGTGATTGTTGCAGCCGCAAAAAGCATAGGATAGGAAATACCAACAGCTGTGTTAACTCTGCATGACATTGCATTAACTTGATGTGAGTGTTCTTCTTCTGAGGCAAATGTGCCAGTTAAGGATAATGTTCCACTTAGCCCTTCAAATACAAAATTTTTGTCTTTGTTTTGTTAGCGATACTCTGGTGAACCTTGTAACTTCCACCCTTTTCGTTGCACACATCAGTGATAATGCTTTCGTTTTTTTCAGTTCTAATATATTGATAAATACCGCTGATTCAGAACGTTTACATAATCTTTCCAATGTCAGCAGTCATTTAAATTATCCTAACTTTGTACTGAATCTCTAAAATCCAATTACCAGCTAATAATAATTGTCAGTTTTACTCTAAACCTTTAATGATAGGTCACAAGGGATGTTGTATCAGAAGGATTAAATCGTTGGAGACGGTAGCTGTGCCCAGCCTTAAATTACTAGCCTCTTATCTGCTGGTAACAGAGCCACTATATGTTTTGTCGCCATTTTTGCTAAATAGAATAAATGTCACCCAAATTAATTTCATCTCTCTTAAATTAGCTTCTTAGTGTGATTTCTCACTTCAGTCAAAAATTTATTTCCCACCAGAATTAAATTTCCTTCGTAATCTCTTTTATTTGCAAGAGGGAGTTGAGGGGAGGGGTGAGGAGAACGTTAAGGAACAAATGCTGTTTAATTCGTTCTTTGAGTAGCTTTGAACTTTTATTCTTCTTAAAGAATAGATGGTGCAAGAACAGGAACGTTCAATAGATCCAAATCCAGCCACTATAAGCTATGAATTGAGATGTGCACCCAGAATGGCATGGTCACTCTGAATTATCTGGGGAAAGGCATGTGTATGTGAGCGGGTATATACTGTATTCCCATGAAGTGGTTAGTCCATTTCTTACAATGAGGAGACCGCTCCAGACCAATATTCCTGGATACGGAACTGTCCACAATAGTGACATGAATAGGAAGACACTTGCTTTCCAGGAGGTCTGTATGTGCATTAGAGGTGCTAGGGAGCTTTGTCTCAACGTGCAACTTTTGGCACCCTGGTTCCTCACCTGGGTATGCATCAGCTCTTGCCCCCATCTCTATTCATCCTCCTGGCCCTGTTTGCCAAGTTTTGGCAAGATCTCCTTTGGATACATTTATCCTCACATCTGGAGTGTACACTTCATTCTCCTTCCCTCAGTGACTCTTGGGGCTTTCAAATTAAATTTGAGACATTGGTTCCCATGCCCATAATAGCTGCTCAGGTGGGTTTATGGTATGAAAAAGTGAACCCACTGCAATTCTTCTTTCTGCTCAACTGCTAATAGAAAAGCAGCTAATTAACTGAACTACAAATCAGGAAATCTCCTTTTCAAATCTCACCTCTGCCATAAATTCACTAGGTTGCCTTAGGCGAAGTACTCTCACTGCATCAGTCCTTCATTGGCAATATGGAGATAATACACTGCTGTTGAAAAGATTACAAGAAGACATATGTGAAGTGCTCTAAGCATTCTAAAAGTGCTATGCAAATGCTAATTGTTATTCATTGTTGTAAGTGAATGAGCCTTGTATGAAGTCTGGCAGCTTTACTATTCTAGTTTAGTCTTGCCAAGGATACTCTGATTGGTAACTATTGCTTACTTCTTCGTTCCTCCTCCAAAACACAGGGTTACCAAGTTTAATACCTAGCCTTTCCCACTATTGCTGAAATGCCTTGAATACAGGGCCAGCCCACCCATGAGGCAAGGTGAGGCAACTGCATTGGGCGGCAGAATCCACTGGGGCAACAGATCTGGCCTCCAAGGAATGCATCACCCAGTGCTGCTGTTGCTGCCACAGTTGGAACAACAGATCCTTGGAGACCAGGTCTGCTACCTCTTCAGCAGCCTCCCTCCTCCACGCCACCTCTACGGTGTCCTCTTGGCAAATAGGAGGCACTGCTGGTCTCCTCCCACCCTTGTTCCTGGTGTAGATGTCTTCTCCCGTTGTTCCATTTTTTGGTTTGCCTCAGGTGCCAACATGTTTTGGTCCAGCCCTGCTTCCATATTACTGTCTACACTGCCTTGGAGCAACAGGCCTCTCACTTGTGACTTCATCCCTTGCTGCCTTTTTGGCATCAGAGTCACATAAACCAAGTGAAGATGAGGTGCTGGGGAGTCTTGGAGATGAACTTGTAGGGAATAAGAGCTTTAGTTTGTGTTGATGAGAGAAGGGGGGAACGGTTTGGGGAAATATATGATTAGAAAGAGGAATTGACTATTTTTGATAGCTGGCTAATAGTCATCTTTATTATTACTGTCATTTACCAATATATTTTTGTTATAACAATAAAAGTGCAACACTCAAAGGACCCCAAACCTTCTGTTTTTTTGTTTTTGTCTTAGTAATGCCCTATTAAGGGCTACCATTGCTGAACTTTATAGCTTTGGGGAAATATGAGTCCTCCTTGTTTCACGGGAGAGCCTCTCAAATTCCAGCATAAAAATTTCTTATAGAAGATCAAACCTCAGACAGTGTGTTCACTCCCTGCCTTTTAAAACCTGACCACTTTCTTTTTTTGTGCATTATGCCTGGAACTGCCTCTCAAAACACCTGTGTGATGCTGTCTCTCATTTCTTTCAAATTCCTCCTCAAAAGTCCACCCCCAATAAGTGTGTGCAGTTGAAATATAGACATATTTTCCCTATAGACCTCAGCCACTACCTTCCTCTCCTTCTGTTGCCACTGCTGTGTTGAATTTCAGATTGTGGGCTGTACCGTATGATATAGAATATGTATGATGATGCAGAATGTGTCAGTATTTTCATTCTCTTGAATGATCCACAGGACACTTCTCCCATATAAAAATGGAATATTTTATTAATCCAGTGTGACATAGGTGTTCCATTCATATTGGGACCATGTAAGACTTCATGCTCCCCTGTCCCTACGTATGGAGGACCTGTTGAGGTAAAACTACAAGCTGAGCCAGGGATCAGTCCACAGCCCCAAACAGACCCTTGTCAAGGCCCTTTAATGGCACAACATTCACATGGTTTGAACAGTACTTCTGCTCATGTTTTCACCTCATGTGCAAGCCATCTTTCGATGCCTTTTGCCTCTCTTTGTGCTTGTCATTGTTGAGCATCATGGATTTCCTCCTTCCACAACCTTGCAGTCAGTTCCTTGCACATGTGTTTGCTTGGAAGCATGATGTGCCATAAATGAGAGTTGTGAGAAATGTTGCGCACAAGGAATGCTGAAGGTTAGCCCTAAAAATGCCAAGTTCCCCGTCTCAGGGATGAGCCAGGGTATACTGCTTTAGACAATGTGGTTGCCCTTACCAGTTTTTAATCAGATACAGAAAAATATACCTTTAAAGTCATAGCATAACTGGGAACTGTGTTAGGGGAACGGAAATATACTTCATTACCAATGAAAAGAGCTTATTACTCCAGAAATATTGCTGAAGAGAACTGTAAAGAAACCACAGGCTCTGTAGGCAAATTTCTCCTTCAGGGTATGAAACACATTTTCCAGATACCTATTAGGGAATTCCAACCAGAACAAACCATCCTGTTTGCAATTTCCTTTTCTTTTTAGTTCTGTACTTTTTGAGATAGGAAGCTATCATCACAATGGGGCATAGAATCCTCCCACAGAAATGGCTGAGTATGAAATGGAACTGCTTCTTTGTCTGATCTGCTGCTAAAAAGCTAAGTCATTCCAATGAATGTGGAAAATTCTTATTGTAGATGAATAAAATCAGCAATATCAGGTGAAATTGTGAGGAATTGGTTTAGTCCTCATTTTTCCTTAATGTCTTCTGTTTTTGAACAGTCCTCCCATCTCTGGTTGTGTGTAAGAAATTAATAAATGATGCACCCAATGCATTAACTACTTTCCATTTCTATCCTGACATACTGAGTAAGTGCTCTGTAGTCTTGATCTAATCTCCCTCCACCCAGTTCTCAACATTCTGTTGCATACATTCTGTCACACTTTAGCATGACCAAGAAAGGACCCAGAGTTAAGCTATACAGACAAGGACTGCTTTGGTACTTAATGGAGCTCACCAAGTGCTATGGAACAAAGTAAATTAACTACAACCGGGGATACCTTTGTTTGCTTTATTTACACTTTGCCTGGAAATGTGACATGTAAATGTTTTAAAATGAAAGAACATACTTGGGCATGGCAAACCTGTGCCACAGGGAATCATGTGTATTTTGACTCATACAGAAACTCTGGAACATGTAATTTTCAGGCGTCCTGACTTCTTCACTAAGTAGTCAAGAGCCTTGAAAAGTTACATTGCTCAGGGTCCCTGACCTCTGGAACACTGGCATTTCAGCCTTCAAGATGCCAGGACGGTAAGGCCTTCCCGTTATCACTAGGAGAAGCACCTAAGCTTTAGGCAGCAGTTCTCAACCTGTGGGTCCCCAGATGCTGTTGGACTACAACTCCCATCATCCCTGAGCTCTGGCCTTGCTAGCTAGGGGTGATGGGAGTTGTAGTTCAACAACATCTGGGGACCCACAGGTTGAGAAAGGCTGCATTAGGGGAAGGGGGCAGGTGTGATGGTGAGGATTCCATCCAATTTATTCCATCACATTCATTTGTTTGATTGCATCAATTAACTCATTGCACTGTCTTGAAAGCATAATGCTGAAAAGCAGGTTACATTTTTTAAAAAATAAATTAATAAATTAATAAATTAATTTATTGATCTCAGTCTTCTTTGGAGTTTAAGCTTAGCTTCTAAATACGGCCTTTTTGACAGGTGGAAAAAGACCCTTTGGTTTGTTGTTAAGGCTCCCTCAGTTCCTGTGTGGCCAAATTTATTCAGCTTATTAGCCATTAATATTTACAAACAGATAGTAAAGTCTGGATTATATCCACCAAGATATAAGCAAGCTCAAATGTTGGGGTGTCCAGTTCATGAAAACTTCTTTAAAAGATTGCTAACAATCCAGGAACTAAAACAACTTGATTAGTTATGATGCTTCTCTATCAGTTGCCAGAAAATCAAGACAACTGATATTTTTTAGCTGCATGACTTTGGTTAGTAGAAACTTTATAACTTAAGCTCCATCCCCTGATTTGCTGAGCACACCTAGGTTCTGCCCCTAGACTGGCTAAAAATTGCTCAATTCTACCTCCCAAACCCACCAAAAACCACTGGGATTGACACCTCCTGCTGCCTCTGAATTCTGTGTCCTTTAACCTAGGTAGCTCCTCCGACACAACCTCCCCAGGTACCAAAATTTATAGTTGGAAACCCAAATATCAAGGATGAAAACCCATCAGTCATCATACTGAAAAGTAATGAGAAGCCCTAAAAATCTGCTGCAAAAATTGTGACTGGGTGTGATGATGTGTATATTATCACATTAGTATGTACACAGAAAATAATTCTGTGTAACTCTGATCTGTAAATTGCATGAGTAGCCCCATCCTATGTATCTTTACTTAAAAGTAGGTCACACTGGATTCAGTGGAACTTACTTCCCAATAAGTGTGGATAGAATTCAACTGTACACAGATTTTGTCCTCTAGTTGCATATATATCTAATTTGTACACTCCATTAACAGTATAAAATGGATTATAACAATATATTTCATATTGATCCCCTTAACTTCCACTCGTTGGCAGTACCTTTCTAGTGTGTATAAATTGTTCATGCAAGAAGTATAATATTGTAAATTGCTCTTTGAATGAGAAGAGTTTTTTAAAAAATCTACAGGAAGCACTGAAAATGCAAACAATGATCAGGATTCCAAAAACTGAGGTTTAGTAGTTTGTGTTCCTCTGTGTACAATGTTGAGTTACGTTTTTTGAAATCCTAAAATATTTGTAACTAAGCTCAAAGTTGCCTGGATTTGAAGCTAGAAAATGGTTCTACTAAAATTGTCAGCTAAACTTTAATGAGGACTTTTTCCTCCCTGTCTTTCTTTTTTTTAATAAAAAAAAAAGCTCCATTATTCAAATTTTAAACATGATTATGATTATCCATTTGTATCAGTCCACCTTAGGTGTCAAGAGACTTGCTTGTATGCATCATAGCAGCTTCTCTCCATTTTATTTCATATTCATTTTTGCAGACCCTCAGATTAATCTCTTAATCTAACTAGCCACCCTCACAACCACTTTTATTTGTAGTTCCCAGAAGCAGTGAGCAATATTGCTACATTAATTAGAAAAATATTGGGGGTGTGGGATGATGGCAACATCAGTGCTGACACTCTTAAATTCAAAATTGGCCATCCTCTGCTTCCAAGAGCCTGACAACCTTAGCAGCAATCAGCTCATCACATCTCTCTGTTATCTCTCTCAGGTTTTTGTGACATCCTTCTTGTCATAATTTTTACCAGACACATACTCTTCTTTCTTCTTGGCCAGTATGTCTCGGGACTGTTGCCCTTTGCTCCCCACCACAAAACTTAGTCAAAATGAAAACAAATTACATGAAAATACAAGCCCACAAAAGCAGCAGCTCTGCATCCTACCACCCCGTTCTTTAAAAGTACTAAGGCAATTTAGTTTCTTGTTTCTATAATATGGAGAATAACGTTTTGTTTTGTTTTGTTTTGTAAAGTTTATTATTATATATTTTTATTTCAGATGGTGAAAAAACTTGCATTATGAGTACTTCTAGAACAATCTACACGTATTTCAAAGTAACAAAGCAGAATGTCTTTCAGTTTTATGTGAAACACTCCTGAGAAATGTTGCTAATGCTATTGAAACTGTTAGCTTCTCCTGAAATTTTCCAGATGTTTGCCTAAGGAAGAACCTCTAAATCCAGTTGAGGTAAAATCCAGTGGCAACGCAGAAGTGTGTGGAACTGGTATTAGATTACAAAATTTGCTAGTCATCAAGACTCCTTTGATTTCCCTGAGAACCTAAGGATTTACCTGTCTGAACCTAACATTCACCTATTTGAGTAAATTCCATACTGTGTAAGTGGGGCCTTTCAACAAAACATTGCAGTTTATCCCCAATCTGGGCCTCTCTAGGCTATTATTTTATTATACTCAATTGTATTTTGTATTTGGTTGTTTTATTGTATTCAATATATTCTTAAGAAAATAATAGTGAATGTGGTGAATTTATTCTGCTTTAGTTTGTTTTGTAATGCTTCCCCAATGCTAGCACATTGCTGCTGTCTGGAAGAGTTACAGTGCAACACAAGCAGGATGAAAATAAACTAAAGCATTGGTGGTACAAAAAGTTATGGGATTTCAGCATGTTACAAGACATACCTTGATTGAAAATGAAGCAGTGTGACTGCCCCAAAACTTTTGCAGGCACAAACAGTATTGAAAACAGAATTGTTTGAGACAACCCTGATTGCATCATTAGCGCAATAATCAACAGAAATATGGGCACATACAAATGATGTCTAGAGGGGCCTTCTCTAAAAGTAGTATTACTGTTGAGTGCTCCAACCAGTGTGGAACCACAGCTTTTAGTGCTGCTTGGGTTTCAAGAGCCCAGAAAGATTACCCCAGAAAGGGGACGCGGGTGGCCTATGACTTGCCAATCGTATGGTTGGCAGTTCGAATCCCCGCGGCGGGGTGAGCTCCCGTCTTTTGGTCCCAGCTCCTGCCCACCTAGCAGTTCGAAAGCACCCTTAAGTGTAAGTAGATAAATAGGTACCGCTTTATAGCGGGAAGGTAAATGGCATTCCGTGTGCTGCTCTGGTGCTGGCTCGCCAGAGCAGCAATGTCACGCTGGCCACATGACCTGGAAGTGTCTGCGGACTGCGCCGGCTCCCGGCCTCTAGAGTGAAATGAGCGCACAACCCAGAGTCTGACAAGACTGGCCCGTACGGGCAGGGGTACCTTTACCTTTAATGAGGACCAGCTTTCAACTCTTAACTCGGGTGCTATACTGCTTTACAGTGGTACCTCGGGTTAAGTACTTAATTCGTTCCGGAGGTCCGTTCTTAACCTGAAACTGTTCTTAACCTGAAGCACCACTTTAGCTAATGGGGCCTCCTGCTGCCGCCATGCTGCCGGAGCACGATTTCTGTTCTCATCCTGAAGCAAAGTTCTTAACCTGAAGCACTATTTCTGGGTTAGCGGAGTCTGTAACCTGAAGCGTATGTAACCTGAAGCGTATGTAACCTGAGGTACCATGCATTCCCCTGCCCTGGGCTCTAATACTCTGCTCCATGATAACGATAAGCAGGCCCCTTTTGACTCACAGTTTCAACATTGCATGGCTCAACTGCACTGAAAGGAACTAGAACTTGAACTCAGGCAGAGTGTCTGAATCTAGATACAGTGGTACCTCGGGTTAAGAACTTAATTCGTTCTGGAGGTCCGTTCTTAACCTGAAACTGTTCTTAACCTGAGGCACCACATTAGCTAATGGGTCCTCCCACTGCTGCTGATGCCGCGCCACTGCTGCGCAATTTCTGTTCTCATCCTGAGGTAAAGTTCTTAACCTGAGGTACTATTTCTGGGTTAGCGGAGTCTGTAACCTGAAGCGTCTGTAACCCGAGGTACCACTGTACTAGATTGACACAAATCTGCTCAACACTCGTTTCCTTTTATTTCTTCTTCTTCTTTGTATCCCATGGTGGAAGTTAGAGTGAGTTGTTGTGTCTACCTCTCCCTGAATCCTGCCCTAGTCATGTCGCCTGTTCCTTTCCAATTTGTCCTTCACTTTCCTTCAATCTTGTTGTGCCATCCACATCCTGACCTGCCCTGAAAAGCTATGATTACAGTGATATCTGCCAGCTCTCTGGATGAAGTGATATTCAATGCAGTTCTCAATGCAGTTGCATGACCACAAGGAGGAATCTGACATGTAAGCCTGTCCTCAGCACTGGTGGAGGAAGAGGAATGCAAAGGGAGCACACCGCCCCCAGCAGCGCGATCCCAGTGGGGTGCCATCGCAGCTACCTCCCCCGTCCACACTGGGCGCCACACCCCCACAGGCGGCACACCACATCCCCAGGATGCGTGCCACGCCCCTGTGGGCAGTGCACCATGCCCCCAGGATGTGCGCCAGCCCCGCCCCTGCTTGCTCTCCGCCCCCCCCCCCCCGGTGCCAGAGCATGAAGCTCTGCCACTGGTCCTCAGACCAAGAAATGTGCAGAAAATTCCTCATTGAGGCATCTTTTAGGAACCCCTCCCTGCAGCCCATGTGGATCTAATACAATTATATTATTCACATGCTGCTTTTTGAACACATGTCTAGAGAATCTCAAATTCCCCCATCAAAAATATATTCTATTTTCTAAATTATTTGTTTGCAAACTGTGGCATGTTTTTAACAAGCTGTGATATTTGCCTTGCAGCTTTGCTTCCACATCTTACAAACTCTCCAACTTGCCCTTTTCACCCCCACAGACCATTGGTGGTCATCTTTCTGGTCCTCTTCCTTCCAACGGCGGCAAACAGGATATGGAGGAAACTGCTTCCCCTGCTCTCTGTTTCCTGTCAGTCACAACACTTGCTTCTGTGAAGCTAATGAAAGTGTGGGGTCTCTGGCTACACCAGGCCGCTTGTCTCTCTGCATTTTACAGGGTGACAGTTTCTATGTACAGTACTCAAAAACATGCTCTTTGGTAGCATAGCTTGAGGGTTGCACTTTAATGCCTCTGGGCGATGGTGGTGCAGTTTTGTTGTAGTGAAGGTAAAATGCACTGTATGCTACTCTTAAGTAATCTTCCTATGTAGTTAATGCATCAGTTATCCTATTTAAAAAGATTGCTGAGAGCTTAAACCTTTGAATTCAAGGTGTAAATTCGTCCTGTCAAATCCTAGCTAAAATGATGTTCATGGTGTTTAGCCTATAGTGAGGGGCAAGAGAGGAGAGAAATCAACAGGGCAACCCCCTCTTGCTGAATTCTACTGTAAGTTAATTCTCCAAACTTCAAGCTAGAAATGTATTCTGTTGGTTCTAATACTTTTCACTAAGATAAGAAAACTTTATATATGATAGGGATACACGGTAAACAGTATATGTTTTTGAACTGTTATTGATACGTTGTAAGCCACTTTAAGCACAATTTTGTGAAAAAGTGGTATACAAATAAATGTATGATCATGATATGCACTTGGTGGCTGCAATCCATCCAGCTTGAACTTCCCAGATGGCAGGGATGGGAACCTGTGGTCCTCTATATGTTTTGGACTACAATTCCCATAATCCATGACCTTTGGACATACTGGCTGGGGCTGATAGGAGATGGAGTTCAGCAACATCTAGAGGGCCACAGATTCCAGCCATGTGGTCTTCAACACAGCTCCAAGTACTCCACACGTATGCCTCTCAGCCTCTTTTCCACTAGGACTGCCACCCTGTTTGGCCCTGATAACTTTGACCATTGGCTACTGAGTTAAGATGGTTTTTCTGCTCCCTCTCACTCATTTTTCCCTTTGTTGGATTATCTTGAATTTTGAAAAATCTTCATGCAACACATTTAGGTGAGAGTCAGTGTGGTGTAGTGGTTAAGAGCAGTAGACTTGTAATCTGGTGAACCGGGTTCACGTCTCTGCTTCTCCACATGAAGCTGCTGGGTGACCTTGGGCTAGTCACACTTCTCTGAAGTCTCTCAGTCCCACTCACCTCACAGAGTGTTTGTTGTGGGGGAGGAAGAGAAAGGAGAATGTTAGCCGCTTTGAGAGTCCTTCAGGTAGTGATAAAGCGGGATATCAAATCCAAACTCTTCTTCTTTATAAATGGTACACAACAAAGGCAAAACAGGCCCAGTATACCTGAAGGAGCTTCTCCACCCCCACCGTTCAACCTGAACACTGAGGTCCAGTTCCGAGGGCCTTCTGGCAGTTCCCTCACTGCGAGAAGCGAAGTTACAGGGGACCAGGCAGAGGGCCTTCTCGGTAGTGGCACCCGCCCTGTGGAACGCCCTCCCATCAGATGTCAAAGAAATAAACAACTATCTGACGTTTAGAAGACATCTGAAGGCAGCCCTGTTTAGGGAAGTTTTTAATGACTGATGTTTTAATGTATATTTAATCTTTTGCTGTAAGCCGCCCAGAGTGGCTGGGGAAACCCAGCCAGATAGGCAGGGTATGAATAATAAGTTGTTGTTGTTGCTGCTGCTGTTGTTGTTGTTAGCATTCCCTCTGTAGTACTTTGGTGTGGGGGACATTGTGGGGAGGGGTTCTGCCTCAGGTGGGAGTTTGCAGTCTATTATCTCATTGTCAGCTCTTTTAACAAGTACGCTATTTCTTCTACCCACATTGGTAAAGCAGTTTAGGGGAAGGAAGGAGACAGGCAGACTCGCCAGGGGAGTAGGAAATTATTATAAAACATACATATTTACAAGGGGGAAAAGATTCTGAGGGAAATAACACAGTGTATTATAAAATTTATCATTGATCCTATGATTCTGAGGCACAGACATAATATTCCTTAAACAAAATAGAAAACTAAGCAAGGAAGGGAAGGTTGCAATTTCATGTGTTTATTGGGGAGGAGAAGAGTATTAAGAAGTGGAACACTGATTTATTAAAAGATTTTTGGGGGGATAGCGAACTAAGGCTCTTAAAGCCTTAGTTCAAAGGGGATGTTTAGTACTAGGAAATAAGACCATGCGTGCCCTTTATACACTATAATTTAAGGCTGATTTGTAGAACCATTGTGCGGGGAAAATATTATAACAATAATTTTGTTGGAAGAAGGTTAAGCACATCTTTATGAAAAGCCGGCATTGTACAAACAGTCCTCTTTCTGGTATTGTTCCCTTATTGCTTTGTAGCGTGTGCAACATCCAGGTCACAGCTAGTGCAAACCAGACAAGCTTAAGCCGTGATGAGTGATATTTGGGGGTGGGAGAGATTGGGTGGATCTGGATTGTCTCAAATAGAGACCCCAAGCAGAGATCTAGGGCTGTCAAATACATTGCGGGCCTGTGGGGGGGAAATTCTGCAGTGAACGTCTGCAGAGATTGTGAGTGAGTAGTTCCAGACGAGGCCACCTTGACAAAGGTATTAGGTGTAACAGGACATGCTGGTGTTGTGAACACACCGGCAGTTATGAGCTTTCTAAGCAAATGTTTCTCATTTCTCCCCCCCCCCTTCGCCCCTTTGTTTGTTAAGTTGGATTGGGTGACTGGTGCTGAAACAATTTAATCCATGTCTGCGGAGCAAAGCAGAGAGAACCCATTATTGTGTTCCTTCGTCACTGATTGCTTTATTGTTCTTGGCGGGGTCTGCCTTTTTTCCTCATAGAAGTTTCATTTTGCAATTGTAGCGGTAATATTTTACATGTGTTACTGTGTCTTTCATCACAAAAGCGCTTTGCAGACAAGATAGTGAGAAAGATGCAGCTGTGCGTGCCCAGCGGTGAAGTGGTCTTAAACTTTAGGTCATAAACATGGCCTCTGCTGGAACAGGCTGTAGCCGTACCTCTTGAGTATTCTTATTCTTCAGCTTGCCATTAAATACAGTAAAAATAAAAATCAGAACTTGCAACATGAACCTGCTCTTTTGTGCAGCTTCCGGTGTTACTTACAGTGTTTTCATGTGATCAGTGCACATTAAATAAGTCGTGTGAGTGGAATTCACCGGCAGTGTCACACTGTTACAAACATGCTGTCTGCACAAGCATATCGGCTTGCCCGACTGAATGAGCCTTCCTCTTCCTCCATATGCTGTTCTGGGGTTTCCCCCAACCTGCCAAGCCAATTTCGGGGGGCAGGAAAGGCCGCACAGGGGGAGGAGAGACCAATCATTAAAAAGCAATTAAACATTTACAGAATTTAATCTAGCTATCATCTGTCTATCTATCCAGGCAATGACCATTTTGCATGCGTTCAAAGACTGCACGACTGTGTGCATCTGCATCGCCGCAAACCCGGAAGTGGCAGTAAAATGGAGCGGGGCAGGCTTGCCTTGCCTTATACATGCTCCACTGTCATGCATGATGACCCAGAACACTTTATCTCTCTCTGTGTGTGTATAAAACAGACAGTATTAGTTCATTGTTACCTATTTTGTTTTGTGCTTTTATAAAACCCGGAACTGCATGTGTGTGTGTGTGTGCACACACGTGCGCATGTGTGTATAAATAACAAAAAGTATTAACACTGTCTCTCTTCTTAGTTCATTGTTACCTATTTTGTTTTGTGCTTTTATAAAACCAAAATGTGTTTTAAAACACCTTGCATCTTGTTTTGAAAATTGGTGTTCTGTTAATGCAGCCTTCTGTTGTTTTCTGTGTTGAAATATGAATAGAAGATGTAACTTTAAAACAAATTATGCATTTAAAGCATAATTTCCCCCAATTTTAATCCAAAGTAAAGGTTGTTGTTTTTTTAATTGTGTTTTTAATTGTGTATTAGTTTCTGGACTAGAATTTGAAGGTTTTGCTACGCTGCTACTTTGCAAATTTAACAATGGTAGGATAATAGGGACACTAGCTTTTCATGCAGTAAGCATGTTCAGAAGAATCTTAAGGTTTCCAGAAGTACGGGGAGAGGACCCCAAACCACTCAATAAACAATCTACAATGGCCATGTGCTGGGGTGGGGAGTGGGGATTGAATGAACTATATTGGAATAAGCATGGCTGGATGGAGCATTCAACGCTGCAACATTTTGTTGCAGATCTCACTTGTTAAATATATTCTCAATATGGTACATCAAAAGCCAGATAACTGTTTCCCTAGAAACTAAGTGAGGGTGGCAGGCCTGGAGGACACTGTGCTGCAAAATGAAAACAACAAAACAACAAAACATTGAATTACTATTCACATAAATGGGCTGGTGTTACCCCTTTCTTGTGAGAGGTTACAACAGCGTATGCCCCCTTGAGGCTTCAGTAGTGAAATGCACCCATAAATGGGTGAGTTAAGTGCAGGAAGATCAGTGACAGTAATTGATTAATGGGTATTTAGGAAGCAGGGGGGAAATGCAGGTTGCATGCCATTTATCTTTCCATGCTCTGTGCAAAAACTATATGCATGGAATGTTTGCTTTGCAGCTGCATTTGTTCCCTTTTCTGCGTTAATATTCACTTCCTATCATGTCAAAGGGTCAGCAGGGCGAATCCAGGAGCCAGATGTCTTACCTCTCCCCTAAGGAAACATAGTGATGCTTAGCTGGGTATTGAACCAAATAAAGCCCGGACCAGAATCCAGAGTAAATGCAAGAGCTGGTTTAAAAATGTGTATCCTCGCATTTGCAGCTAGGACTTTCTTAAGGCACTAGCATGGTGCTGAGGTTTTTTTTTTTTTTTTAAAGTCTTCTCTGCCACTCTCGGCTGCTTTCCCCCAGTAACTACGTCTAGGAAAAAATTACTGGGGGGCAGTGGATGTGTGTGACTCGTTTTATTTACGGCCCCTGCTCCGAAACAAGTTTCAGTTATTTTAATCTGACTGAAATAAGAAACCATAATCCATGGATGAAAAGACAGTGGACAAACTCAGTTAAATCTCGAGTACCCCGAGGACATATATTTTGTCCATTTTTCTGGTTCTTTATGTCCCTTTCCCTCCCCTCCCCTCCTGCCGCCGCTATTCCCAACTTTTAACTTTTGAAAAGCCAAGCAGTTTAAGAGGCCGGGCCTGGGGAACTGATTGGTATGCAGCAGCAATTTCAGGATCTGTTCCCAAGCCTGTGCAGAGTGAAAAATGGCCTGCATTTTCTTGATAGCCCATGTGGTTGTAAAGAATAAATGGCTAATGAATTACAGATGAACATTGACGCAAATTAATCTTCCTGATGTCCCTGGGTTATATGGCAGCCATTTAAAAGTTTAATCAATACACTAAAGTTGAAAACATGCAGGCACTGCAGTTGTTTGGATGTAATAAACATCAGAGGGAAACGGGAGGCTTGTACCCAGTCCATGTATCATAATGACAGGTATTTATGTTTAATGGACTAAATATTTTTTATTGGAAGAGAGCAAATGTCAGCCTAACTTTGTAAGCCCTGCATTCAACTTTCCTTTGTGGTTGGTGAGAGACGGCTGACATGTCATTGAAAATGAAAGGGGGAGGGATGCCAATAGAGACAAAGCCAAGGATAAGGAGCCACATTTGCAAGCACACCGTGCTGTTTTTAATGCTCCACAACCATTCATTAAATAAAAATGTTGACTCCATTTCTAGCATTGCTGTAAACTGGTTTACTGGGGGAGGCTTTTAATGGGTATTAGGGAAAAACAAGAACCAACCGCTGCCAGATATTCTTTTTCCTGTGAGCATATTATTTCCAGTGTCCTTTTGCAAGTTTCAGTTTGGGAAGATTTATAATTAGCCCTTCTCCCCTGAAACCCCCACCCGGCCACTTGGTGAGACAAGTAGAAACAAGGAAATGACTTTTGGAACCTGCGTTTCCACAGGCTTTTTCCTTTGGAGTAGAGTAATAGCTGTGTATATGCTTTCCAAACACTCTGATATTAATTGCACTTCGAGTCCATAAATTTTAGAGCCATCATGCTATTCATCTTTGCTATAAACAGAAATGCCTCTCTCTCCCTCTCCCTCTCCCTCTCCCTCCCTCTCTCTCTCTCTCTGTGTGTGTGTGTGTGTGTAGGTTGCAGGAGAGGGATCATCCTTGCTTACCAGTTTACAGTGGTACCTCGGGTTACAGACACTTCAGGTTACATACGCTTCAGGTTACAGACTCCGCTAACCCAGAAATAGTACCTCGGGTTAAGAACTTTGCTTCAGGATGAGAACAGAAATCGTGCTCCGGCGGCATGGCAGCAGCAGGAGGCCACATTAGCTAAAGTGGTGCTTCAGGTTAAGAACAGTTTCAGGTTAAGAAGGGACCTCCAGAATGAATTAAGTACTTAACCCAGGTACCACTGTATAACACAGCTGGCTGGGGGGGAGGAGGAAATACTTTTAAAGGTGAAATAAAGCTAAAAATTGTGGTAGCCATCCACTTCTATGCAGCTGTGCTCCACTTTGGCAGGACATGAAATCAACTATAAAAGGTCAGACCTGGCCAAAGTCACAACGGCAAAGGGCAGGGAGGCCAGTTTGCAGTAAGAACAAGTATCCGTAATGTCCTCTCTGGTGAGTTGACGAGAAGACAGCCTTGACCAAGAACCTGGAAATCTTATCACATGACTTGCTCTGGCCTGCTGCTGTCTCGAAGGGCTTACTTGCTGAAACTGACCACTTACAATTCCCTTCTTTTCTCTAGGTTAAGGGTTGCTGCTGCTACTGGTTCTTAACTTTTAGAAGGTCTTCATATTTGAGGGAGCTTTGTCTGTAATAAGTAGGAAAATGTATTGTGGATGGAGAGCGTCCATATTTTTAGTTAAGGCCGAATTGTGCGTCATAACCATTTCAAAGTTGTGCTTTTAATTTAATCAGAAACAAGTGTTGGTTCATTGTTGTTTTTTGAGAAAAGTCAGCAAAGAACAACACCATTTAAAACAAGAATTGTTTTCCATAAGTTGCTTTGCTTGATCACCTTAGTATGTGATTGCTGCAATAGCTAATAAGGGACACTGTAATGATAGCAGAAGTAATGAAAGTGGGTGCATTGGGGGGGGGTAAGTAGTTGTGAGGATAACCTGTGGAGAACTGAAACCCAGGGTGGCAGCTACTGTGAGCCATTAATAAAGAGTTGCACTGTGTTGAGAAAAGTTTGTTTGCTCTACACTTTGGTCTCCTGTAGCATCATTTGATAAAGTTTCAAGTGCCAAATATTATAGGCTTTAAATTAAAGGCAATTAAAGTAAAATGGTGCAACAAGTTATCTCCAGTTACACTGGCCCCCCTGTACTTTACTCTCATTTTGCACAGGGCTGCTGCTGAGAATGGCTGGAGTGTTCATGATTTGTCAGGTTGAAAGGTGATAACTTAAGGCCAGCATCCAGTGTGAATTTGACCCCTGCATCCAAAAGGACTAACAAAAGAAGGCAGAACATCCTTTCGCTGCAGCACTAACTGATCAGTTAATTCCATTTATGAATTGTTTCCTATGAAACATCTCAAAGCAATTTTACAATATAAACCCATTAAAGTCTGGCCCATCCCAGTTTTCAAAGGGGGCACGACTGAAGGTTCATTCACACTTGCACTTAGCCATAGCTGTCAACGTTTCCCTTTTTTAAAGGGATATTCCCTTATTCCGAATAGGATTCCTCGAAAGAAAAGGGAAAAGTTGACAGCTATGCACTTACCCCATGCTTTCTAGGCATGGGTCCAGAAGGTTTTTCTTTTGCGCCTCCGCAAAGATTTGTTTGTTAAGAAATCAGCGGTAAACGGTGGGCTTTCCTGGAGGAAAGCGGAGGCACAAAAGGAAAACCTCTTGGAGTCATGCCTAGAAAGTACTGGACAAGTGGGATGAGCCCTAAGTCTGCCTGGGAAAGCATATTAAAAGTACTTATGAAATTGTTGCTACCCCCCCATAAGGCTTTGGAAACAGTGTATTCAGCCAGCCACCTGCCTGAGCAGTTAACGTGTGGGGAGCAATGGGACTTGAGGTCACATCACTTGTGTGGGGAATTTTAGGGGAGGGGGACATGGGAGAGCCAACATATGCTGTGCACAACGCTTAGACAACCTCGTTGTGGCATGCACCAGACTGTGGATTATGAAATGAATCACTGATCTAGTCTGGGCCATAGTGATCCACTTGGATCTGATCAGGCAAGTCCGCTTTGGCATCCAAGCAGGGACTGTGTCACTGAGGTACAAACTTATCCTGCAGGGGTCATAGTTCATGGTCTAGAAATAAGTTTTGTGGGCCTATTGGTGCAAGACTGGTGATGTTATCACATGGCAGTACTTCTGTTTCTTTGTTCATTCTTACAGAGCAACACTGAATATTCTGTGACTTTGGTTAAGAGTCTCTGCCTTTAGTTCAGATCTGGACAGAGCAGCCAATGGACAAGTTGTTTAATTTGAAAATTGTCGGAATACACACTGACGTAGAGAATGGCAAAGTGATGTACTGTGATCTGGCAAGGCATTCTCCTACTGCCACGTCCATCTCGAATTTCTGGAATAAAAATGTTAATGACAGTATGGAGAGAAATCAAGTTGAGAAGCATGCCAGTCTTAGGCCTCTGGTGTTTGAACCCCTATCTTTGACAGCTAAGTCAGAAATCAAGTAACTTTTGGTTCTGATACTGTATAACAAGCATGTTTTAAAAATGGGGTCTTCGTCAGTATTACCCTGCAGACATAACTCTGTTGTCTGCCAAATCATACTGCATTTTATTTTGACAAAGAGAGAGCATTAGAGGGGGGGAGTCACTTTTCATCACAAAGGCTTAGTAAGGCAATAAAAAAGCCCCCCTCTCAAGACATTGTCATGTACTGCTGGTTATTTGTGATAGTTAAAAGAATTATTTGGAAACAAAGACATATCTCACAAAAGGCCTAAGTCGCATAAAGCTTTAATAACATTTACATCTGTGTTTCGTCCATGCTTCGAAATGTAACCCATGAATAACACATAAACCACAGCATATAAAGAGCAGACACACCAGCACATCATTTAAAATCCTACATGCCCCCCGCCATCGTCTGTGGAATCAAGTACACAGCAGGAATGGTTCCAGTTGATAGGCGCACAATGAAGTCATTGCAGACAAAAACATATTAATTATGTTCATTTAAGACTAATATAGGAATTCCCTAATTGTCCTGTAATGCTGGTGATTCAGAAATCCAAGTTGTTGTGTGAGGTGGACATGTATGGTGCTTCAGAAATGGTGGAAATTGCTAAGGATTGTCTTGGACTAATCCTGCAATTGTAACATGCTTCCTGGCAGAGTCAACAACTCGTGGTGGTAACAGAGGACAAAACCAGGAAGAATTGCAAACGAAGGATGGGGGGGGGGGAGGAAGGAGTTGTTGGTGCAAATAAGTATCTTTGCCCTACATGTGCTAATTGTAAAAACAGACCATTTTGAAAATGCAGCTGCTACGTACTTAAGGAACCACAGCTGGGAGAATTGCTTTGTAGTGCTCTTCTGTTATGGAAGACATCAAGAGATGCTTAATAAAGAGAATCAAGAGGGCAATGTCAGAGGGCATGCGTGGTGGTTTTATTGTTTGGTCTTGTTTGTCAGTATTTGGTACCCTAGATGATTATCAGAAAGATGGACTTATTCATCTTCAGATAGTTTTCTAGGTTGCTTTGTTAATTTTTATTCCTAATCAAGAAGTGTCAGTGTAGCTATGAGCATCTGTAGAATACAGGGAAACAAGGGCCACTTTCAGACAAAGCTGCCTAATTCTGTTTGTATTACACTCTTTCATTTTTAACATCTCCTTTGAGTTTTGAAGGAGCGTTCACATGCCAGTTTACAATTAGGTGCGTTTGAATGCTGGCTCCCTTTCCCCCTGCTATATCCAACATGCATCAAGAAATTTTCAGTCTTTAATTCTATGAGATCTCAAATTATCTTCCCCTCTGCAATGGGTTAATAGTTCTTATTTTGATGCACTTTTAAAATCCCGCCTCTGGGGAACGGTATTTCAGTGAGAGCTGAGTGTAATTGCTAAATAATACAGTCGCTCTGTCTTATTTTAAATGAGTAATACTTGAATCGTAACTGATGCTGCCGTATTATGTCTAAACTGGGGCTATTCCTTCATGGTGTTTGATGGCACCACAGATGTAGGTGTTTGCGAATTTAAGCCTCTAGGTTTTAAAACGCTGCACCACATCGTTTTTAGCTCCTTTATATATGCTCCAGATTATGTATAATTGATGGCCTGCATTTACTGACATGGGTGGTATACAGATGTAAATGTTATTATAGCTTTTATATTTTATGTTCTCTCTGAAATATCATTTTGTCTTTGAATAATATTCTTGTTCAGGTTTCTGGGGGTTGGGTAGGCTGTGTGTGTGTGTGTGTGTGTGTGCATGCACGCACTGCTGCTGTAGATGTGTGTGTTATCTTTAAAAGGGAATATGAATTGGGTATTGCACATCATATATTTCTTAAAAGTAATTTGGAATTTTAGGATATAGGATTTGCAGTGACTGATAGGCTGCCTGGATGAGCTATACCCCATTGAAAATAACCGCGCCGGTACATGCCTACATCTGTCTAACCTCATAATTCACTTTCACATTGGGTTATGGATGTCTGCATTCAGTGAGTCTATCTCCCCTTCAGGTATTATTTCAGCCCTTTGAGATAATAAGGAAAGTTTAATTGCGTTGTTAATTGATTTTTTGCACAACATTATTACCTTGATTGATTGCCGAGTTGATGAAAATGTTAGACACAGGCAGCGTAAAGTATCAGCCCCGGTAAGGAGTGGGAGCCTTGCGGAGAATAGATAACCTTGATGTTAAGAGCTATATCCTTCAGATATGTCTTCCCTTGACATATTGATGGCCCTTGAAAAGGGAAAAGCTGATTGTATGCAGAATGCAATCATTAAACCCACTTCAGCTAGCTCTTGATTAATTTGTTTTTTTTTTCCTGAAGGATCTAGTTAAAGAGAAGACCTCACTGGTATCAACAGCAGCCGTTTCCCAGCTATCAGAGTACTCTTTAACCCTCTCATGGTAGAAAGGATATATATGTGTGTGTGTGTGATGTGTTAGGGGCTATTTCTCATGTCATGAACTGGCCGAAACATTGTGGTGTGAACAATCCAAATGTCATCTCCCACCTCCACTTAATAGCAGGGGCACAATCCACCAGTGCAAATTTAGTTGGAACTAAAGAGTGAACCCATTCAAGCGTACAGTAGTATTCTCTGTCTGACTCCCACTCGGTCACCCTTAATGGTGCCAAAAACCTGCTACCTTGAGGCTTCTGCCGCAGCTTGCCTCATGGTAGGGTTTTCCTTATATCAGGTTTACTTTTGTGCTGGGGGAAAAAAAGAGTACATGGAGGTGCACCAAAAATATACTGTGAGATTCACCAAACACACAAGTATCTTACATGAGAAGACCTACACAACTATGCTGCTTCCAGAATCTTACTTTTCTTGTGGCCTCTCTCCTACAGATTTCTGTGTGGCACATGTATTAAGGTTCTTACATTATTATCCCCAAGCATTTCTTTACCAGTAATGTTAAGTGAGAAGCCCCCTTTAATTTAGATTAGGAAAATCTGACAAAAATGTTTTCTTCTGACTACAGTTAGAATTCTGCCCACAATAACATCCTACTGAAGTTCCATCTTGGAGTGTTTGAGTATTTGGTTGCTTCAGTGGGGCATGGTTACCTACTGGTAGCTTTTTCAAAAGGGGCTAATGCAGAGAATCGGTGCTCCTGTTTAATCTGTTACACTTTTTGCACCCAAAGTCTGCTTTCAAGTTTGTACTGTGGTCAGTCACACAACATATGCTTTTTTACTCCTGACTGAGCATGGTGAGGTCAGCCTATTTTGGTGATACCATGTTAGCACATGCACTTGAGAAAGTGTCCAGTCCAGTCCAGGCAAGCTTCAAGTTGGTGGACTTATGGCAGCAGTGTCCCATAAGCTTACTTCTGCAAATATAAACTTCTTAAAGCAGTTGCTGTTGGACAAACTGAGTAATTCGTTTGTTTGCCGTTGGAGATGCATGTATATGTGCACTGTCTTCGCTACGCAGGCATTTGTTTTAATTAAGTTTTTTTTTGTAGGAACACAATCAAGGTAGCAATTACTCTTACCAATTAGCACATGAATCCATGAGCAGCTGCCACTGTGCCAAATTTGTATTGGTGGCAACTCCAAGTCATGAGTCTCTCTCACACACAGCATATGCCTGGCTAGAACACCATGCATATTGAGTATTTCGCAGACATAGCCATGCGCCAATGGGGCCTTGGAAGAACATGCCATAGGGTGTGTGCTTTCTCGTGGTACATTTCATAGCTCAGTTCTAGCATCTTGTTTGAAACACACTTTGATTGTTAGAAGGGGAAAGTGTCAATAGACCAAACACACACACACCCCATGCACGCTTTTTTAACCTGGCAAAATATGGACATCTTTGTCATCTGTTGCACCAGGAAGGCCAAACCATTAAGATGTCAAGAGATTTAGTGTGAATATAGTATGTTGTTCAGCGTCTATTTACATCATTTTAAATATTAAAAATAGGGTTGAAATACAGGTCCAGGATCTAAAAGTTACTAAGTCTCATGCAGTTGTGCTAATCTAATGGGCTGCTTTGTGGTTGTTTTAGCACACACAGCAGGTGCACACAAACAGACCCATGCCGTATCACAAACTCCTTTTTTTTGAAATGCCTTTCAGTTTCAGAAGAAATTTATCATGCAGGATGGCAGGCTTCTGTTTGAAAAGAACATGCCTGGAGCCTGTTTGGCTCATGAAACTAGTCTTATGGGTCTTGAGATCCTGCCCCAGGTCACTAATGTGGTGCTATTATTGATGGAGGACACATTGATTAATACAAAGTGGCAAAGGCACCACTATCTGTGGTCTGTGTGAAATATTTTATTTTCCATTGGGATTTAATTTCTTAGGAGGAAAAAACAACCCTCTGAACAATTAAATAAAATGGGCAAAGCTTTCTAACTTTTCTAATTATAGTGGACAGGGACCCTAACATATGAACACTCCATCAAAATGAACAGTTAGCAAGTGGATTGCTTTGGCTTAAGGTAACCTGCATGTAATAATTATATTGGTGTGTTGATGTTCATGGTCTTCTCCTGTAAGGAAGGATGGGGTAGCTGCTGGTGGTCATAGAATCAGAGAATTGTAGAGTTGGAAGTGATATCAGGTTCATCTAGCCCAACCCCTTGGAATACAGGAATCCTGCCCACCGCTGTCCCTGGGTAGGTTTGAACCACCAGCCATCAGGTTAACAGCAAAGACTGTGGTCACACGCCCATGAAACAAATCTTGGTGTTCTGATTTATATCTACGGACTTTCAAAGTCACCTAAAACTTGTGCCTCTTGCTGTCAGGGCTTATGGGATACCACAGAATATTCTGGACCCAGTATAGTGTACATAGATTGAGTTCTTCACGTCAAGTGTGTGTGGGGGGTGTCTCACTGGCTTCATGCCCACTGGCTCTGTAAGCAAGTTTTAAAGGAAATTTTAAAGAGGGGAGTTTGGACAGGAGATCAGGGCCTAGTACAAAAGACCTGAGCCATGGGGCCCCATCAACCACCCCCCTGACAAAGTCCCTGGCTACCCACACCCACTAAATACAGGACAGCAGCCTTTCCTCTCCCTGCCCCACCAGAAGGTGGTGGGTCAGACTGGGCTTATTGTCCTAGTTTTTTACTTTTTGAAATATGGCAGCCCTAGATAGGTGCCACAAACAAGGAAAGTTTGAAGTAGCTGTGATGGTTTGTAAGAAAACTACACAAGTGCCGCTATCTCAGCTAGGGAAGGACAAATATGTCTATTTCCAGATTGTGTTAATTTCGCACATGTTGATAAGTCTGTTTCATGACATTTTTACATTTATCTGATTGATTGAATAAATAAACATTTAACTGTATTTTATCTCTGTGTACATTTTAAGATGTATTTTACCCTAAAGTATGTATTTTTTTTACATGTTTCTTTAGTTCAGAACTGTATTGTAAAATACAGAGAAGTGTGAAATCCAAATAATAATTACACACTGTGTAATAAAGTGTGTTAGTAGTCACTTCACTTAGAAATGGGGGCCAAATAAAATTCTCTTTCACCCCTAATTTCACCTTAGACTTATGCAAATCTAGTTCCACATAACTTTTCAATAAGCAGAACAGAACAACAGCATTTGTCATAAATATAAAGATATGGCAGCAATAAAATTCGGGTTCAATGAAATTCAGAACACTGGACATGTTATGTTCAGCCCCTTCCCAATTACCTTTAATGTAACCCCACCTTCACATGCTAATTGTGTGAAGAGGGTCCACTGAAAGCTCTTGCTCATTGGGCAACATCACACAGCTTTGCCAGGTCTACTGCCTCTGTGCCAGCTTTCTACATGAATAACTTCCCCTCCTCAGATATTCACACCTTTTATGTGGGATTTCAACTGCATCCCCACTCAGAATTCATCAGGGGTGAGAAAGCCATGTGGCATTTGGGGATGGACCATCATGTGCCCCCCGCCCCACTTTCTCCTTTCAATGTGTAGGTCCCCTTCATGTGATTAATGCATGGAAGGGGCTATAGATGTTGCTTGCCCCACTTCAGGTACACAGTGAATTAATTTTTCAGTGAGCTGCTCACCACATTCCAAAAACCACTTTCCTGAGAGTTCACAACCAATTCAGAACCTAGTATTTAGAATTAAAATTGTGTTGCAATCTTAAACACTCTGACTAGGGAGTAGATCCTATTGAATACAGTGGGCTTACTTTCTAATAAACGTAAGATTTTGCAGTCATTTATCGGATGACCTAAATTGGAGTAGCTATTGCTTATTGTTGCTGTTTTTTAAGTTTTAAAGGGCAATCAGTGTAAAGAATGCAGTGTAAATAGATATATTTTCGGATAAGTATTTTGTGCATATATTTTTCTAAACGCAGAGATAGAACAGGTTTCATAATGTTCACATGCAAAAATGACACAAACAAGGAGAAGCACACAAATTGGTTTAAATTTTGTCCAAGTGTCTTGCGGCATCTTACCTTAAAGACTAACTGATTAATCTTGGCATGAGCTTTCAAAGACAAGACGCGCCCCCTCCAAATTTTTTTTTAAAAAGGTGTTGCTTGATAAAGTGTGCTTTTGCCTCTGAAACTTGGTTAGCTTTTAATGTGCCACAAGACACTTCATTGTTTTTGTTACAACAGACTAACAGGGTTGATCTTCTGGAATTCCTCCGCAATAAAATTCTATGTCCTATCACACATGGCGGAAATAACATGAACATCAAAGCAGTTGCTTGCATTTCTATGGCAGCTCTCTCCCTTTTAAACAAATGTCAGGTGGGCAGGGGCAGAACCTACCTGAGAAATGGTGTTAAGTCTTATCAAAATACTTACTTTGCTTCCCTCAAAATTCCCAGGTGTTTCTTTTAATCGGGAGCTTCAAATTTTGCTTCAAAATATAGCTTTTGGTGAAATTCAGTAGTAATTGCTGACCCAAATGTTGCCCTCTGCATTTTATTCGGCTACAATTTGGTGGCCACTGTTAAAACACACACACACACCTTTGATCTTTCTCCTTGGACTACACAAGATACGGTCGCATTTTTGTTACTGTCAGCTTTGCCCGCATATTGATGGTAAGTGGGATTTTTTTCAGCCTCACAGAAGTCAAGTTTCAATGCAGAAGGCTGAAAGCATTGCACTTATAAATTCAAACCACTGATCCTTACAAAACATAAAGTGGACTGCGAAGGAAGTAAACAGGATTGCTTTAATTGTCCTCAAAGAATACTTCGCTTGCTGGCTTTGGCCTCTTCGTTTGACAAATTAATGCTGCCCTCTAGTGGTCAAGACCTTCACTTCAGAGGCAAAGCAGCTAACGTGGGAATAGATTTCTTAGCTTTGGAAACTCGCTCTCCATTCCACTGGAAACAACAAGGCCATGTCTTGTGCTATAATTATTAATGCTAACCTTAAACTTACATAGTAACATCAGTCAAATGTGAATACAATTTTGTTTCATCTTTGGTGCTGTGTGTTTCAGAACCTGGCCTGCTTCTCCCCAGTATCTATTTGCATTGCCAATGAGATAAGATGTGCTGGGGTACCCTTTCATGTACCGTTTCTTTCAGTTGCACATTATGCCATCTGTCAGTTGTATGCTCTAGTGACCCCTACCTGTATTGCAGAAACTCAGCCCTTATTTGGGATCCAAGTGGCCACATGCGGAGGTGTTTCTGAGGATTCTTTTCCTAAAACAACCCAGGCCACATTAAATTCAAAAAGGCTGAAGGCAATTGAGGAGAGGCATCCAATGGAGGGGGGGGGAGAGCTGTGTTTGGGGAAGGACATATGGAAACATAAGGATGTGCTTGCATGTACCTATGGGCCTCTTTTGGGTCTCATCCTGAGAATTTATTGGTATATCTGAACTCCCATTACACTCCAGTTGGGCTAAAAGGTAAAGGTAAAGGACCCCTGACAGTTAAGTCCAGTTGCGAACGACTCTGGGGTTGTGGTGCTCATCTTGCTTTACTGGCTGAAGGAACAGATGTTTGTCCGCAGACAGTTTTTCCGGGTCATGTGGCCAGCATGACTAAGCTGCTTCTGGCGAAACCAGAACAGCGCACGGAAATGCCGTTTACCTTCCCGCCGGAGCAGTACCTATTTATCTACTTGCACTTTGACATGCTTTTGAACTGCTAGGTGGGCAGGAGCTGGGACTGAGCAATGGGAGCCCATCCCGTCATGGGGATTCGAACTGCCGACCTTCCGATTGGCAATCCCTAGGCTCAGTGGTTTAGACCACAGTGCCACCCGCGTCCCTTTCCAGTTGGGCTACTCTTTCATTTATTCACAATGCATATTTTTGAGATTGTTTTGGGCTGGAGATGCCAGATCTTTTGCATGCAGTGCACGTGCTCCCCAGCCCTAAATGGTGCAATCCCCCCCCCCCCCGTTTGTATATTGTTATTATGGAAAACCAACAGCAAAGCACTGTTGGAGAATTTTAAAAAGAGGTTCCTAGAGATATACCTCCCAGAAACCCAAAAGAAAATGGTGCATTCTCCAAATGTGCATAGGGACAGCCTCAAAAATAAGGGGACTGTAAAGAACCATATCCAAAGCAATGTTTTTAATACACTTCCATATTACACACATGGTTTTTATTCACCAGTCAAAAGATCACAGCAATCTTAATAGATGCAACCCAGTGTCATAATCTTGAACCAATCAAAATCATTTGGTTCTTCAAATCAGCCCTCCTCATAAGATCATGTGATTACATATAACCAGTATTTCAGTGTCTTTATTAAGATTTATTTTCCTATTCATTAAATGTATCCTAATTTTCTTTTTTATCCATCTACAAAACAATTCAATATTAATCACAATTGCTATGCCTAGCCAATTTTCTTTTCATGCTTACAATGGCCACCATATCAGGGTTGGGCATGGCTGGCAATTTTAAAATACTGTAGCGAAGGTCAAGAACAAAACAGGTCTGGGAGCTCACTTTTAAATTTATTTGTTACTAAATTAGGCTGGAATCCTAAACTGGGCCATGTGGAATAGGGGTGACTATGGCAGTTTAACTGCTTCATCTGACACAGTGCATATCTCTGCTAGCAAGGTTGACTTGAAATGCTCTGCATTTTGCCATCTATTTCCAGTCTACCAACAAAATGTTTAAGCTCCTCACCAACATTTTTTACCCACCAGAAGCAATGGAAATGAAAGGAGAACGGGGAATTAAACATGCTAAGAAGTGTGCATAAACAAAGAACTGGGAGGGCTCAGGGTCCATTGGATCCCATCTGCTTCCTGGAACGCCCCCTTCTTGGAACTTAGTCAGGTCTCCCTCTTTGACAGCAGAGCTCCTTCTCTCTCTCTCTCTCTCTCTCTCTCTCTCTCTCCCTCTCTCTCTCTCCCCAGTGTCAAAGGGGTACATTGGATCTATCTTATGGTCCCTAGGACAGCCTCTAGGTGCATAAGAAATTATATCCTAAGTGGCTCTTTGTCCATTTTCTAATGTCTTTTCCTACCCTTCTTCCTCTGTTCTGTGTTTCTCTTTCCTTTTCTTCTCCTCTCTCTAATACCAAAGAAAAGAGTGGTGGTACCTTTGATGTGACCTAACTAATGTTGGGGTGCAATCCAGTTATGGAATCAGAATCCACCCTTTGAAAAAAATGGCTTTAATGCATCTACTCAAGGCAAACTTGAGGTAATGGAGCTGGAAGTTGAACTGAGGGTGAACATTAGGGAAAGAAAACACTCTCCTAATTGCATCAAGATAGCTAGACTTGGTCATGGAATTTCCCCTCTTGGTGGTTTCCTACAACATTTTGGAGTTGGCATTACTTAAGCAGTACTTTAATACATTGTACTCTGTGCCTAAAGCACCCTTCAAACACACCCTTCAAACAATGCCTGCTCAAAATTTTCCTGAAAGCTACCAGGAGGGAAAATTCCATGATCATGTCTAGTCATCTTGATGTAATTAGGAGAGTGTTTTCTTTCTAACATTCACTCAAAATCCTCCTTCAACTGCCGTTGCTAATTTGCTTTCAGTAGATACAGCAAGCTGTTGTTCTTCAGTGAGTGGGTGCTGGATTTGCTGACCTATTGGGTGAATATAGATGACCACTGTCCCAACTTGACATTTACCACAGTGTAATTTGCATCCCTTGGGAAGGTGCCCATTTTAATACTCTTAAGACACATCCACATCCAGTTAGAAATTGGGGAGCGGGGAGGGAAGTACAAAAAATGATCCTCGTTGCTTGGCAGAATTGGTAACAACAACTGGCTAACTCAGTGATTCCATGCACATTACATGTGACTCTGAGTAAACGCAGAAGAGCATTCCCCAAACAGCAACTGTCCACTTGGCAAATGGTCATCCGTATTCAGCTGTTGTTTCTCTTCCAGCTCTGTTAGCCTATAAAACCAAACATCCCAAGCTCTCTTCTTAATAAGAAAATAAGTAAAAGTAAGTAAGTAAGGCCTTCCACATTGCAGTTTGTCATCATTTACAATACAGATGTCTTTCTGCAAAGTCACCAACCTACTCACACCCAAGGGTCACAGCTACTTTGAATGATTTAAGGTAATATGCTGTAAATGGGCTCATTTTCACCAGAAGGAGTGGATCTGTAGATAGCATATGCCTAGATCAAAGGTCATCATGTCACTGTCATTCAAGGAGGAAGAGATTCTCCCTGTCCCCCCCCTTTTTTTTTACACAAACGAAGTATGACATCTAAGGAACAATGTGTTGTTTGTTCCACTGCCAGGATATGCATAATGGAAACATTAGCTCTGAAATCTTTTTTTTTTTAAAAAAAACTGTCAACCTAATGGCTCAGCTCCTTAACGTGTTAGAGAGCTTTAAACTATATATCAGCCTGGGTCGTATAAAGCAACCTCTAGATTGTGGCCTGACTAGATCATAGTGACATAATACAACCTTGGAACAATACAGCTTATTATTGCATATCAGCTTGTCTGCTTATTCCCAAGGATTTGGGCAAATGCACTCCCCCGCCCCCCCCCCAACCCGGGAAAAGATTCTGTGAGAATTTTAGTTATTTAAAAATAGGCTTGCAGTGCATCTCTGCCCCCTCCTGCTCCTTTATTTCCTCTCTTTTGAAAAAGAACACACATTTCATCCACAGTTGCAGTGGGAACTCTGAAGTACATTTACACCAGACCGAATTTAATCACACATCAGCTTGACTGATAGTTTAAACTGAGCATTATTGCAGCTTCTCCTGGCCTGGTTTGGAAACTTCGCATGTTTCTCCTCCTATAATCTTCATTGCAGATTTTCCCAACATGCGTTCCCTGCTGACTCCAATCTCACCTCTTTCTTCCCGCCACCCACCCCACCTCCAGGCCTTTCTTGCAGCCATGGTGGTGAGGTGTGATTTGCTGCTGTTCTTGTCTGTACCAGCTGCTTGCACTGAGGCGCTTGCTCTTGTCTGTACAGGAGGGGATGTTGCCATCCTCTAAAATGTTCTATTTCACTAGATTATCCTTGGCAGAAGGGAAGAACTTGGCTGAAATTTCCCTCCTAGTTCCTCGGAAATAAGCAGCAACTTGGGTATTTTACTCTGCTCTGTTGCGGAATGCAGATGTCTTTCCGCAAAATCACCAACCTACTCACACCCAAGGTGGGCGGAGAGAGAAATCTATTTGATTTTGGTGGGAAGGGGTTGCCACTTACCTTAGCAAATCTCACCAGGAAGTGTGGCTGGTGGGAAGCTGTGGAAAGAGCCTTGTAATGCAGTGCACAGACCGTGGTAAGCTGAGGACAGAGCCTTGCATCACTGTGACATCGTTAAAGTTAACAATTTGCTGGTGAGGAGGAATGAAAAACCCTTAACTGCTTTATAGGTTTAAGTAAGGTAAGGTGGAATCCCCTCCTAAACATTACACACACAGATACACACACACATACATATATATATATATACACACACATATATATATACACATATATACATACACATACACATACACAAGTATCTATATCCCATGACCTTTTCACTCCCAACTAGTCAAGAAAATAAATTTACAAAATTGAGTCTCACATCTTGAAAAATGTGTATATTGTAACCTAGCTATCCAAGAGTTCTGAGCAATGCACACCCAATGCTTTAAAAAACAAAAAACTTGCTTTAGTATGCATGTGTGTCTTTATTTATGGTGATAATTGGTCCTCCCTCCCCCCAACCCCAGCTCTGGAAGGTCTATCGTGCTGACATTACAATGTAGTGTTCAAGTGAGACCGATCTCTCAGTGCATGCGAGCGATTGCAAGATTGTTACTTAGCCGTTATAATTAGAACATCCATTCCGCAGAGGGAAAACATTTAAAAGATAAAGGGTGTATTTAAAAATGAATCTTCCCAATGCAATTTTTTCATAATTATAGTTTTAACATCTTATGGTGATGGTGGAAGCGGCTACTTAAGAAAAATTAGGAGCCTCATTTGGGGGAAGATGATCCCTCAAGAGACCTCATGTTGTCATTTTTCAAGAGCCTGATCAGGGAGCTCATGGCTCCTGATGCATTGGAAATATCCTTAGCTTATTATGACCAGCGCTGGATACTTTAATTAAAAATGCCACTAAATAGGGTGGGGGGGTCTCATTCCCTCTCTTTTTTAAACACGTGTTTTTTGAATTATTTTCTGAAGGTGCAACCAAATGAACAAATTGTGGGCGCACAAGCACATACACAGCATGCTGGGGTAGGGGAGCTATATCCCCTACAGAGACAGAAGCGGTTGGTTTCCCTAATCCACATATGCTGTATCTGATCATGAAATGCTCTGACTATAGCCCACAGCCCCCTATAATTTTCACAGTTCTCTGCAGTTGCTCTGTGTGTGTGTGTGTGTGTGTTTAAGGGAGGGGGGAGAGAGAAAGGCTTTTGTATGTGTATGTGGGAAGAAGGGGTGAATCACTGTCACCTCATTTAAATTATAAGGACGCCTATTGTTTTACAAATAACCTTCATGATAAAAATAAAGTCTCATGGCACCATTTTCAACTGTGCTTTTATCAGGACCCTCTGAGCAGAAGTGTGTACACAATACGCCCGGCAATCGAATCACAGCTGTGCGTCTTGGTAGGGACTCTCGGTGGAGACAACACTTCGTTAATTTAAACAATTGTAGGCTGCAGGAGTTCAAAAAATAAAAAAAAATAAAACGAAATCAGCTGACTTTAACTGTCACTAGCCCAAGCACCTTTATCCCCAGGCGAGCAGCAGCAGCTGGATTTCATTTCTTGCTGCCAGACTGTCCGACATCTTTGCTGAACATCCCAGGAACTGAGCGCCTTTACTTTAAGGATTTTATTCAAGGTGACAGCTCCTCACACTTTAGCGTTCAGATCACCTCAAGTAGCTGAGATCTCAGTGAAAATGAGAGCACTTCTGCGGCAAACTCCAAATTTAGATTGACTGAGGTTATCCTTAGGCCTCTAGGACCCAACCTCCATGACAGAACAGGCCTGCCAGGAACTTTAAAACTGCAGTGGAGTTTGTAATGATGTCTGGGGAGAAATCTTCTGCAGGAACCACAGAGAATACTATAAGTGATAGGAAAGGATGTCAGGTTTCGTTAGGGCTGGAGACAGTGTTAGAATATACGTGGCATAATATGGCACCGGTATCTCTGTCAGCATCTCTGTTTTCTGTCACCGCACACAATTCCAGGCCTGTCTGTAGCCATGACAGTGTCTTTTCAGATCAGGTTATTGCCAGCCCAAAGACTCGCTCAGCACACCGCCAGATAGCCCCCTTTGTTTGAAGCCTGCCCTTTTGTCATTAACGCACTTGATGTCTATTTAAAATCTGATGGTGAATGCAGTATCTGTTTTCCTGTCAAGAGATCATTGACAATATTAATACCTCATGTCCTTGCCTCATTTTCTAAGCGCTGACACCTAGCTGCAGTCTCCGGCATTCATCAAAGAGCACTCTCTCCCCAGGATTTCCATAAACAGCCTTAGTCCCAATTTCTGAGAAACATGGCAGCCCTCGCAGAGGGCTTTTATCAGTGCCGTCTGCCAAAGGAGTCTGAGGAATGTTGCTAATTAAACAAAACAAAACTATTGCTAATAAAAAACACACTTCGTGGTCTTTAAATTTTGATACTTAGAATCTGAAAGTACATTCAGCCTTATGAAAAGAGGTAATGATATCCACAGTGTTCATGGGAAAATGACATTCTAGAAGATAAAAGCCTGGTTTTCCGTAGATGCTGACTCCTAGGAAATGGCTGAGGAATGGGTAAATCAGTCTTTTTCTTGGTCCTGACACTTTTACTCTATTCACCCATACGTCTTTTCCAATTTCATGCATTAATATGATTTATTTATTTTTTTAAAAAAAATGCAGTTAAATAAGTAGATAAGTGTAATTGTAAAATAAAAATTTGCATTTCAAATCATACTCTTCCAAAAATACTTATTTTAAAATGTATTTCTAGTGCGCACCTACACATGTTGACTCAATAATAAGTCTCCCATTGAGTTCAATGGTGTAAGTGCAAGCCAAGTGTGCTAAGTGTATTTGAAGGGAGCCTTTGGGGGGGGCTGTTGATCCTGAGCTTTCGAACTCCCTGCAGGACAGATATCCACAGTGGGCAGGGCAGAAAGACCCAGTTTTGCTCCCCAACCCACACATATATAAATGTTTGGGGAGTTTAGTCCAATCCAGGCCAATAGCTTCTTCCTCCACCTTGAGAGCTGTTAAGCATATAGCAGTTTACTGAGAGATTCTCCATAGGTAACAAAAGTACATTCAGTATCTCTGTTTTTAAGTCTTGGCATCTTTAATATCAATCAACTACAGTCAGTTTGAGACATTTTTGGTTGTAGTTAATGAGGGGTGGGGGGAGAGAGGGAAGGAGAGGAAGACAAAGTGAGGGGGGAGATGAGGGAGGCATTAAACTTTATTTGCATAATATATGAGTGGAGTTTTTTGTTCTCATCGTCACATGGATGGGTGTCTTATTTTTATACAGTACATTTTACGGAACGGAATTCCTAGCTTTACCTTTTCCTGCCCCGATCTCCTTGCACATGCAACCATTACACCAATGCACTAAGCGCTAACCTTTTCGTTTCTCTTCTGCTGCAGGTGTCCTAGGGAAATGCCGCTATGTCTACTACGGGAAGCAATCTGAAGGCAACCGGTTCATCCGTGACGACCAGCTCTGAGGCGAACTCCGCATCAGCAAAACCATCCACGTTAGCCACACACATCACACACACACACACACACACACACAAAAGCACAAACTTCATCCACATCTTTAAAAGGGGTTAAAAAAAAAAAGCTTGTGTAAACCAAAGTCCTCCAGTACCTTCTGCTGACTTTGCCAGACCTGTCAAAATCATCCTTCTGCTTTAGCTTGAGTAGTCACACAGAGATTGACATGATTGCCTCTAAGCAGGTCCCATCCACCAGTGTGACAGACAGCTGCAGCGAAGCACCAGGCCTGACAGGAAGAACACCATGATGGATTGCCTGGCCCAATTGCTGCTTGCAGAAGAGCAAAGGTCACACCTGGGGCCTCACTGAGCATGCTCAGCTGCTTTTAACAAAACCAGCCCTGTTTTATCTACAGCTTGCCTGTTGAGTAAGAAAGCTCTGTGTGTGACTGTGTCTGCATGTGTGTGAGAGTGTGTGAGGGAGAGTGCACGCGTACACACACACACAAACAACAACACTTAACCTGGCTGCTGCTTGAAATTTCAAAGAGCACCCCCTCCTTACCTGCCTTTATTTTTTCTCAGGAATTAAGTGTTTATGGTAGATGCACAAACAATGCTGCCATGCCGTATGTGGCTTTGTGTTTCTTTATTGGGGGAAATAACAAAAGCTGTCAGAAATGTGATTTAATTTCAAATGCTGGAGGGGTGGTGGAAATTACTTGATAACATGTGGAAGTGTTAATATTAATTCCAAGCTCCTTGGGCAGGAGTTGGTTTCATAGTTGTCGGGGGGGTTTTTTTGCAAAGAGGAGGTTTGGAGGTAAAAGTGCAGGAATGGAAAGAGCAGGGAAACAGCAACAAAAACTGCTGATCCGGATTAATTTTGGGAAAGGAGAAGGGACAAAAGAGCCGAAGTCCTCTCCCCTAACCTTAACTTGTGGAAATCAGAACCACAAAATATGTATCTGTATGTCCTTAAGCAGTATTGACAGTCCTTTTATTAACTACTCATCAGCATAGATCCAAATGGAGCTAACCACACCTCTTGCCTTTTTGTGAACTAAAACTATCGTCTTTTTAAAGTGTTTTCTGAAAGGATTGTTTCGTATTCTGTTTTTTTGGATAGATATAAAATCCCCTAAATATAAAACCAACTCATGTTTGTGTAATGAAAGCTATTACCATCTGAGGGACCACAAAGTCTTCTGTGAAATGGGTTAGCGGTCTCAGGCTGAAAGTAGCCATTACAGTAGACATGTGTTTGCAACTGAAAACAGCCAGGTCAGATCTCCTGCTTCTGTAACCCCTAGCAGTACAAACCGTGATCATGCTTTGGGTTTCCCTTCTCCACCTGTGCTCCTTGCAGGGAAGTATGAGGGATGTTCACATTGTATGCTTCATATGTCTTGACATTACTAGTGGAGAGGAGAGGCAGATAAGGTGTTGGGCTGCTGTTTTCAGTGGCAGCCTTGTAACATCTGGTTCTGACCCCCATTCACATTCTGGGTTGAGGACATGCTCACAGTGTGGAAAGGCAGATCACATGGCCTTATGTGAAGGGTGGTCTTATCCACCCATATATTAACTTTTGTATGTGGAGGGGGGATTAGTGTTTGCAAATACTAAACCAGGTCACTAGCTGATTACCATATTTTCAATAGCAGTCATTTATACCACACAAAGTCATAGAGCATCTCACCCAGGGTAGTCAGCAGATCTTGACTTATTCCAGATGTTTGTTGGACTCCAGTTCTCATAATCCCTGACAAATAATCAGGAGTTCAAATCTGACCATTTCCACAGGGCAGCATTTTGGCTATGCCTTAACTAACCAGACCTATCTATCTATATCTGCATACATACAGAAAGTGCCATTGAGCTCCGTTTCCACGTTCACATAGCAATAGGTCAAGAGAAAGACTGAATCCAGGTTTAACATTGGGAGCCAATTTAAGTTTTTAAAAAGTCCTATATTTTGGATGCAAGTGCGTGAGTCCTGCAGTTACATTCCTGAGTGTATATCAGGATTGTGACCATTCCGGTATCATGTTCTGTCTGCATTTTAATACATACAGATATGTATATATGAAAATGTAGAAGAATATCAGCGTGAGAATTCTACACCACGAGTTGACTGCAAAGGAATTGCTTTACAGTGGGTCAAAAACAGGAATCCATTTTCAGGAACTATTAATTTGTTATTAAACTGAATCGTGATCCAAAAGGCTTAAAATTAGAGGCCTGAGGGTAATTGGTATGACATTAACACACGCAAAAAAAGTTTTTTGGGGAACTTGAACCCATTTTCCCAAAACAACCGCGAGCTGTACAGATTTACATTTGACTGGCTGTTTTGAATCGTAAGTACATGTTTTGACCATGGCAGTGGAGTTCAAAGCAGGGGTGTTTGAAATCACCTTGTGTCACATTCAGTCTGGTTGGATATCTCTTCTTGTCTACATCAAGGACTTTTTAACCCTGCCTCAAACAATAAAATGCACTTGCAAACTGACCACATGACTTTGGTGTTTTTCCCCCTCTCCCACTGCAATGGTATGTTGTTATGTCAAAACCATATGTATCATTCTCAGAAATGCCTTTTCACCCTTTGGAGGCAGAAGTATTTTGAGAATGCATTGTGACCAGAGCGTGGTATTATTCCCAGCCTAATTGAGGTTTGTTTGTTTGCTTTTTCAATGTTGCATATAGCAACTTTAATTAAAATCAGCATAATTATATAACGCTTCAGCTACACAAAGTCTGGCATACCTTTTTATTTTATTTTGTTTGGCTGCAGTAGACTAAAAATCAGTACATATATACAGTTTCCTTGCTAAGAAACAATAAAACAGCATGCAAAGGTTCTGTTGCTATTCAAGCCTGTTCTCAGCCCCCGGCATGGTGGGCAAATGGCAGGGCCCACTGAGGCTGATGCCTGCAGGATCCTGCCTCTCTGCCTGTTGTAGCCAGCAGCGTAGCTAGCTGCTCGGGTGCCAGGGGCGGCGCGCGCATCCTGCAGCCGGGAGTGGGGTGAGCCGCCCATGGGGGCAGGGCACGCTGCATGGAGCCTTTCCACTGCCTCCCCCTCAGCTGTAGGGCGGCTGAGGGAGAGGCGGAGGGCAGACGTTTCAGGCAGTGCTGAGCCTGCAGGCGCCCAAGCCACCATGTCACTCCCAGGACAGACGTGTCGCTTGGGCACACTGCAGGCCCTGTGGTAACTGCCAGCCCCTGCGGTGTGGTGCCCAGTGCCAGCCACATTTTGTTTAGATTTTTGACTGAACTAAAAAGTTTTGTGAGCCCTTAAAAAAAACCACAACTCATATTTTTGTCATTTTGCCACCCCCCTCAGTGATGACACCTGGGGCGGCCCACTTCCCCTTCCTCCGCCACTGGTTGCCTCTACCTTCACTTGCTGGAAGAGACCAAGTGGCTGCCTGTCTTAATCAGAGCTGGGCAGCCTTCATTTTTATGCCCCATGATTCTTTGAGTCAACACCAAACTAGCTTGCGACAGCATTGTTCCAACTGTCTTTTGTGGGCATAGCTGGGTAAAGCTGCGTCCAGCCCAGCAGGCGCTGTTGGCAGGAAAAGGAAGAATTTTGCTGTGGGCATGCCACTGGGAGGCGGCAGTAGCAACTCTTCCCAATCTGAGCAGGACCCCCTGCTCCCCCCCCCCACACTTTGCATTACTTACTTGGAGGAGTAAGTATTTTCAGGCTTGGAGGAGCGCAGGTGGCTGAGAGGCCTCAGATATTTCACACATGTCCTCTACGACCCTTGGATGCCTGTGTTGTATGTAGAAGCATAAGAAGCCTCCCTACAACTTGCATCCTTTCCAACCCAGACAAGACTCTCTTGTGCTGCCCTGGAATGTGGCAGAGCAGGGAGCGTGCCCATCTAGGTCAGGAGGAGCCCCAGTTGCTGTGGGGCCCTCTCAGGCCCCCGTTCTTCTCCTGTAGAAATGAGAAGCACACTGGAACCTCCAGGCCTTCCTTGCCAAATCATAATCAACCAGTTTAATAACAATTAACCTTGGACACCCACTTAATCAATTCTTAACGGACCAATTAGGAATCATGCTTCCCTTGTGTCACGCATTTGATGTTTCTGTTGTGACCTCTGCTAGTGCCATTGGAAACTCCAATTGCAGGGTTTTTCAGTGTATGCATGGGGCTGTTTCTGTTTAATTGTGAATTGCTTTGGTGAATAATATTATCCCAATGGTAGATGAGAAATTGGAGAAGAGTGGTGAAACCACCTGAATGCCAACAGCTTGCACAACACTCTGTGTGTTTAATTCTATTTCTTTAAATGGCAAAACACTGACTGTCTGGATTGGGGTTCCAGTGGTTAGGTGGTAGTGCTTTTCACTGCCAAACAAATTGTGCAGGTAAAGTACACCAGAGAAGGTGATTCATCCCGTCATGGTCAGTTCGGATGATACATTTCAATCCCAGAATAAGGCTTTTTTTCTAAACCCTGAACGTGCCCCCCTTCCTTTTTACCCACAAGTTTCCATTGGAAAAATGTCCTCCTGCCCCCACTTCCCCTCCCCATTTCCCTTTGGTTCCCTTTTGTGTACTTAGCACATTCCTGTGCTGAAGGGTGAGGGGAATATTTCTGACACTTATCTGGTTTGTGAAAGAGTGGCAGTGTTTATAGCCTTTGCTTCCCTGTGAAACTGTCACTTCCTCAATTCTTTCAGATTCAGCTGGCCCATGGAGAATTATTCTTAGATTGTGTTCCCAGGACCTCTGCATAACCAATTATGCCTGGTCTCTCAGGGAAGGCTAGTAGTATCGCTATAGCAGGCCATTTGTCCCATTCAAAGCCTTGCCTTGGCGGCCACTGAGTCATTAACAAAATGAAGCTGGTTAAATAATCTGCTCTGAGGACTTAAAACAAAACAAAAAAACCTTCTGATATATATTCCACCCTATGCTAAGGCATTAGACTCTGTGCAGTCTCTGTGTATGTTTCTTTATCTTTTTTTGCTTTTCTTTTTAAATCACAAAGCATCAGGGCCAAGTACCATGCCTGAGGCTGAATTCAGAGGTTCCTCTTCAGGTGAAACATCAAAAAAGAAAATGGAAATTCAAGGTAAGTCAAAATGGTTTCAAGAAAGCTAGCAAAGTATCTCGAAACAGTTCCACACAGTTATTGTTACAGGACAGCAAGATCACAAAAAAGAAAGGGAACCTGAAACTCTGGAGCAGAGAGTAAAGTGGACTAGAATTGGGCCTATTATTTTTAATATTGTCCTTCCTCACAGAGGTGCTTCAGGCTCTTGATCATTTTTAGTTGCCCCACGCTGCAACATTCCCAATGCTGTGCACGCAGCCCAGGGTACTTGGCACATGAGTGCAATAACAACAACACCCCCCAAGCCACATTTTTGCATACAAAGTTGGTCATTTTCTGCAGCCCTTTTAGGTGGCTGGCTCTGACTTTGATTTGTAGCCTAATCTTTCTCCTGAAAGAGCTGGATGTCTCAGCTACACCAAGTGTCAGCTCCTTGGCAGAACACAGACTTATTTAGCTTAGGGAAATTGCCAAGGAATAAGAGCCTGAGTGTGGCTGCTGCAAACTATAAAGCAGCAGGATTCAGATCGCCATGAAGGCACCTATTGTACTGCTGTGAAGTCATTCTGACTGCTGCGGCATTTATGGCGTTTTTACAAAAGGATGGCCAGTTATACTTTGTGACTTTTAAGGCTATTAACTCTTGGCACACTTGTAAGGGTTGAAATTAAACTCCAAGACGCTGAGGCAAGCAGCTTCACCCACCACACTTCTAAGTGGGGGGGGGGAGTGCTTTTGGCCAACCCCCATCCCCCCACCCCAACAGACTATGCAAACCTTCAAGCTGATACCTCTCAAACTTGCTTGGAGACACTGTCGTCTTAATGGGAGCTCTTCCAATGTCACATACGAGTCCAAGTGAATCAGAATGACATCATATGGAATGCCTTTCTGATTCCCAAATCCTGGCTTGAGTGGACATTTCCAACCCCCCACTCCAAAAAAACAAACAAACAAAAAGCATCACTGGCTATTAGCCCCCGCAGTGTTAGCTGAGACTAACAGCTGTTCTACAAGGCTTGAAAACATCAGGCATTTGGGAGAGGGGAACTTAACCATGGGTAGTTCCCACATGTTCAGTGCTTCATTTTAGCATGCCCAGGATCCATAAACCGGGAAGATGCTGTGGTTAGCAGCAGTGGGTCCCAGCATCTGCCCAAGGATGCAATATGCATGTCCTTGCATACACCACCATGCAAGCTCTCCATCATCCTTTTGCCATAATCCTCACCCTTATAAAAGTGATACCAAAAACTTTTAGACACCAGCTTGTGTTGGTGAGGCAGCTGCACTTGTTTTTGGACTGAGATAGCCTGAACACTGTTGTGCATTAACTGGTAACCTCTGGGATGGATTACTGCAATGTGCTCTGTGTGGGGCTGCCCTTGAGGTTGGCCCAGAAGCTGCCACCCAAATGCTCCCTGGGTAGGATACTGCTGGCAAATTACCCCACTGTTTGAAATAATTACACTGGCTACCAGTTAGCTACCAGGCTAAGTTCAAGGTGTCAATTTTGGTGTATACAACCTTGTACTGCCAGGATACCTGAAAAGATAATCTCACTCTTTAAATACCCAGTTGATCATTGCACTCTGAAAGTGAGGGCCTTTTGAAGACAGCATCTTATCCACACAATGTAGGAAAGGACACCTACCCTTTGGAATTCCCACCCCTTGAATATCCGACAGGTGCCATCTCTGTTGTCTTTTTGGCACCTACTGAAGACCTTTCCTCTTTCAACAAGCCTTCTAAGTTGAGATTTTCCCCAGTCTGCATCTGTATTGGAATTTTTGAAGGAGTTCTTAATGTGTTTTATCAGTGGTTGTTTGCTGAACCTGGGCTCCTTTGGGGAGAAAGGCAGGATACAAATCTAATAATAAATGAACAATATACCTCCCCCTGGCCCCTCTCCTCCCTCCATGGGCTCCAAATGTGACCAAGGCAAACTTGTTTGAGGAAAATGTGTTTCTGTTCATTCTTCTGTAAGGCAGGCTTATCTGCAAGGCAGATGCATTCAGCTCACCCATCTTGAGTTTGATAGGAGGACAGAGAGAGAGAGAGATCACCCTCCACCTCACTTTTTATTTTTAAAATCTCTACCTAATATTCCACACTCCTGCCCCAGTGAAGCAGGGCCTGGATGTTTCTCATTCTTTAACTGACTTGAGAAGATCATGGCTGGTGGGGAGGGCAACAAAATTTTTTTTTAAAGCACAGACACCTTTGAAAAGACCTGCTTTCATTAGCTTGGAGTGTCCCCCCACCCCTTCCACTGTGCTCTAACACAATTATTTTTACAACACCTCAGGGAAATAGCTGAGATGTAAGGGCCTAACTTGCAACAACACCTCCCTTTACAATGAGGACATATATAGTCTGCTGGTCTCCATGGTGCACCAAAAGGAGGCAAGCTGTTTATTCACACAAAATAAATCCCTTTACCATAGTGATGACTTCGAGGCGCAACTGGAAACTCTAAACCTGAGTCAGCCATTTGTGGACTTAGCGCTTCTTCCTGTTACATCCACAAAGTAGCTCACAGTTAAAGCTGAAAGATCAGCCTTTCCCTGTGGAAGGAGAGTTTAACACACTAACTCTTAGACTCCCGATCGCAAGGAGCCAACCACCGTATCCTAAAATCGCATCATTATATGCATGTTGTGCCAAAGGATGCATTTCTGTACACATTTTAACATTAAAAATACACATTTTATATGCACAATGGCTCCTTCAATACACACACCCCTGCTTAACTGTGAAGTAAATGTGGTTTAGTTTTCCTTTTGGATTGATGCTAGTTTGAACTGATGCTGGCACACTGAACATCACTATTTCTCTAGCATCTCTAGTTCCAATGCTAGCACACTGAACATCACTGTTTATCTAGAAACTTTAGGATAGCTTTGCATTGTGCATAATGTTGTGGGTACACAGCTTCAAATCAGTTTTTTGGTTTTTTTATTATTTTCTAAGTCACTTTGAGTATGTTTATTTGCTGAATTCTGTTTATGAATCACTTCCCATAATATATCCTGAAGCAATTTCACAATAGAAAACATAATCACCAATTTATTTTTTTTACAAAATTTCATATATAAAAACAATGAGGAGAAACACTTTCATATGCAAAAACAATACAAAAATACAATTTCACTAATCAGAACAATTAAAGCAATTTCATATGTAAAACAATTTCAGATCTAGTACAGATACAGACAGATGGGACATAAGCAAAACAAATAACGAAATACACATTTGGGGTCGCATGAGCTTTGGGATTTTTCCACGTTTATAGCATCATTTCCCTTTCTACCCACTATTTTTAAAAAATGTGTGTGTTTTCATGAGTGTGGTGTTTTTTTTGGGGGGGGGGAGGATGGGTGCCTAGAGGTCAAAGCAGTGTGTGTGTGTGTGTGTGTGAGTGTGTGTTGTACACACATGTGTAGACATACAGGTCGTCTTTGTGTTTATATTCATGTATTCCTTTTGTAAACAGTCTGTGCGGTGGCTCCTTTCTTCCTGTCATCAAGGCACTAGGCAGGCGTATGAGAGATCACGAAATGACCCCATGCCCATAAGAAATAAGCAGTTTGCTGGTGTGATGTAATGCGCATCAAGAATGACAAACTCAAGGATTTTCTTCCATTCCCTGAGATTATTGCTCTTGCCATTTCTCATCTCCTGCCTCCAGGCTGCTCACTCTGATTCATGAGATGAGGGAGGTAGAACCCTTGAAGCTTTGGTGATCCGGTTGTCCTTATCCTATTGCCCAGAGCTGCACATGCTAGTGAGGGATCATAAATTCACCCTAGCCTTCTTTAATAACCTAGCTGCTTTATTTAGCCCTCTGACCCCCTGCTGCAGTGAATTCTGGGTCTGCCTTGTGCGGAGCCGTATTTCTTTCAGTTGTGGCGCTCTTCTTTTTTTGCCAGCCAGTGCTTTTCTTCCATT